AAAAACTTGGGTCGACCTATAAACGAGGAATATCATAAATTAACGATTTCTTGGTCAAAAAATCGGGGTCGACCTATATACGAAGGGGGGTTATAGACGAGTATATACGGTAACTCAAGCAGTAAAAAATGCCTGACGTAGCTATTATACAAATAAGCTCCAGTCAGCATCAGGCGACAGTAAGAAAACCTGGAATGTCATACAGGTTGGCAACCCTTTATCCGAATTTCCGAAAACCGAAAAGCTCTGAAAACCGAAAGTTTTTTGTGGAGCAATTTTTTTTTTTTTTTTTTTTTTAAACAGGGATTAGCCTATCCAGGCATAGATCACTGACCCACATCGGGGCCTGGGGGGCGAAAATGTAATAGTAATACTAATTATAATAATAATAATTATAATAATAATAATAATTATAATAATAATAATAATAATAATTATAATAATAATTATTTATAGTAAATAAAAAATTTAATTAAAAAATACATCATAATAAAATAATAATGATAACAATAATACTGTATTAATAAAATAATAATAATAATAATAATAATAATAATAATAAAGAAATACAAGAATGAAAAAAAAATTAAAAGCGAGTAACACGACCTAGACCTATGAATTATTATTATTACCTGTATTATTATTATTATTATTATTATTATTATTATTATTATTATTATTATTATTATGATTATTATATTTTCGCCCCCCAGACCCCAATGTGGGTCAGTGACTTGTGCCCGGATGGGCTAATACCAAAAAAAAAAAAACCATTCTGAAAACCGAAAAATTCCAAAATCCGAAATGCCTCTGGTTCCAAGGATTTCGGATAAGGGATTGTCAACCTGTAATTCTATTCAGAACAGAAACACTCAGTCTTCAGCCCCCCACCCAGCTTTTATGATAAATGATTCAGTTGTAACAGAACCCTCCCCCAATGCCAACCACTTCAATGAATATTTTATAATTGTTGGCAAAAATCTTGCAAAGAGCATCCCTGATAACCATGAGGAATTTAGAGCCTACCTGCAAAACAGACAGCAAAATGAGCTGTTCTTATCCCGTCACAACAGATGAATTACTGGCCATCATAAAAATGTCCAAAGATGCAGCAGCAGGCGAAGACAATATACCAATGAGCATCATTAAGACAGTGGCCCACTTATTACTACCTGTTCTCCTACACTTTTGTAACTCCTCCTTCACTAGTGGTGTCTTTCCTGATAAACTGAAAATTGCTTAAGTTCACCCAGCATATAAAAAATCTGGGGACAAAGGTCTCTTCAAGAACTACCTCCCCATATCAGTCCTCCCAGCCTTGAATAAGATACTGGAGAAGCTAGCATGTAGTAGACTAAATTCCTTCTGCAGTGTCAATAACATCTTTACAAACTCCCAGTTTGGATTTAGAGCTAGAAGGTCGACTGAGAGTGCTCTGCTATCCTTTACTAATGACATCTTAAACTCCTTTGATGACAGTCAGCTCACAGTCGATATATTCTTGGACCTCTGTAAAGCCTTCGATACTGTCGATCATACCATCCTCCTTTCAAAGCTTGAACATAACAGCATTAGAGGCCTATCCCACAATTGGTTTACCTCATATCTGTCCAACAGGAAGCAGTATGTCTGCTATAATAATCACTGATCTGACTCCTCGCCAATGTTGTAGGGCGACCCCAAGGATCCATCCTCGGTCCAGTACTGTTTTTGTTGTATATAAACGATATATAGTCCATGCCAGCACACTCGTAAAATACAACTTATTTGCAGACAATAGTAATCTCTATGCCAGCAACTCAGACCTTCATTCCTTGATGAGAACTATGAACACTGAATTGACCAAAGTTTGGACCTGGGTAATACTTAATAAACTGACGTTAAACCTCGAAAAAACCCACTTCATGATCTTTCACAGAAGGAAAAACTTACCCCCAGACTTGGGCCCCCTGTACCTTGGTAATACAGTCATCAAACGCGAACAAAATACTAAATTCCTCGTAGTTATTGTTGATGAGAAACTTAACTGGAGAAACCACATACAAGCCATTCACAGTTAAGTCGATAAACAGTGCGGCATCATGTATCACACTCGACAGTCACTCAGCAATGAAAGAAGTCCATCATGATCTTGTTTACCAACACCTGATACACTGTCACACACTCTGGGGGCCTCTGGTTCTTCAAAAACACAATCCCTGGTTACTGCACAAAAGAGAGTTGTATGGACAATGACCAACTTGAAAAAAAAAACATCACAGAAACGAAAAATTTGCTAAATTCAAAATTTTAAAATTTGAGGATATTAACACCTACTGCTGTGCCCTCTTTGTTTATAAATCTATCAATCACTTGCTTGACAACAATTATTTCCAGTTCCTAAATAATCAGAGATACAACTTAAGGCACCCAGAGCTGCTAAGACCACCACCCCTCATGTGCTCCTCCCATTCCCAGACCTCCGTAAAATATCACGGTGTGAAGGTGTGGAGCAACTTACCCCCACCCATCTGAGCAAAGACTACGCTCCCTTCCTTTAAATCTTCTCTTAAAAAATATCTATTGTCTAGGTATTAATATTTTTTGTAATGCCTATTATATATACAGTGCCTGCTTTTATTGTACCACCAAAACTGTTTTATCAGAATTTATCATGTAGATAGATAAGAAATTGCTATTGCAATAAATATATTTGCCAACTAACTAGACATAATCCTGACAACTCTGTCCTCTTGTTCAACCTTAATACTGTACAGCGTATATTTTACTGCTTCCCCCATTATATTTCTGTTTTTCAATTCCACTGTAACTTATGTATATACTCATAATATAAATGTAAAAAAAAAAATAAAAAATAAAAATATCGAAGTGGTAACCGTGGTAACATACTGATATGTTCTTATTGCCACCATGCTATTGTACTATTCCAGATGATACTAAATGTTACATAATACTTCCTTGAGATAAATGTACAATATATATGAGGTGCCTACAAGAGGCCTCAGGTTCTCAGCTGGCTCAGCCATGTTAATATTGTTATTATTATCCACTCTGTATATGTGTTTTCTGGCTAAATAAACTGTTTCAATTCAATTCAATTCATATTCTAGGAAGGTTATTTGGAGTTGTGAAGCACAGCACAAATTAATAGAGAGCATTAACGGCTAATTTATTCTGTGGGACTACAGACATGAGCACTTCAGCAAAAACCTCCTGAAGAAGAACCAGTGGAAGGACACCCTAGAACTGCAAGAGGAATTCCCAGTGTGACAAAAACGTTTCTTTGTTTAGCTGGTCGAACCGTGTTGGCCCAGCATGGTTGGGAGGAAAAGTGCCCAGTGTGCTGCTGCCTTTACCCCGCCATTTTTTTTTTTAGAGCATGCCTTCTGTCACAGGGGGACTATCCCTGTTTTTCCAACAGGATTTTCAGGAACCCAGCCTTCACGGTTGGTGAGGTACTACTGTATACAATTAATTAATTCATTAATTAAACAAAGACCTATTATAATTTTGAAGGGAAGAATATTTATAGGGTAAGCAATGCTTACTTTGCTTCTTAGAAATACACGCCACAGACTGTACCTGTAGAATGTGAAATATATCCTGAAGTATAATTTAATATTTCTTTAGATTTACTGGTTATCCTTCTTGCACTGTTTATGAAACAGCTTAGCATTTTCCATTTAGGGAAAGGCTTAGTGCTGTACCAGCCTGTATGAAATGTTAGCTAACAGTGTAGAAAATTAATGGAAATAGATTATTTGATGATGATGACACCAATAAATAAGAATATAGCAAGTTCCCATTGAATGAAAGGGTTAGGTTCCATTAAAACACTTTCGTTAGGTGGATTATGGTTATCAAAACCATTTTTTTTTATGTATTATCTTGTATTTACAGTATATAGTTTTTAGAATAGTAATTGGCAGCACAATGTGTCAGGCTAATTGTGTAAGAGACAAGAAATGTGTGGAAAAAGGGTGAATATAATATGGTTTTGTAAACAGTAAACCCTTGTTATTTGTGGATTTACCATTCGTGGTTTTGACTATTCATGGTAAGCAGATGTTGGCACGCTCACGAGCCTCTGTGGGCATCCGACTGGCTGGGAACGTATCCCATTGAACCCCATGTTATAATGATCCCAATTTATGATATTTCAACCAGCAATAGGTTTTTCAGGAACCTAACTCCATCATAAATAGGGGCTACCTGTATGAGGGTGGATGTGTTAGCAAATGATGAATTGAATCATAGTAACAGGGGGAAAGAATGTAATGGGTATAATGAGAAGTGTAAGAATAATGATGTTAAATTGACAAAGCTAGGGATGTATAGAGGAATTTTTATACTGACAGTAGTAATTGGATATGAGGCACAGACGCTGGATGCAAGAGGGAGGAGCTGATTGGAAGAGACAGAAAAATTTTGTTTGAGAGCAACTTTTGGGTTGAATAGGAGGCAGACAACAGAAAAATATAGAAATTAGATAGAAGAATTATCTGAGAACTGACCACGCTTGGTTCAGGTAGTACAGTACAGAAAAATGTAGTGAATGGGATTTAAAGGATTGCTAAAAAAAGGTTTTGATTCAAAGTATTGTAGTTGGGAGAAGGGAAAAGCAAAATGAAGGTGGAAGGATTCTGTGAAGGACATCCAGGAAACAGCAGTGTGCATAAGAAATAGGAGTTCATGGTGTCAAATGGTTTATGGGGATTTTCCAGCAATTAAGTGAATGGATGACAGCGAATGTAAATAGAGATTGGTTGTGTTTACCACCTTACAGTATAGTAGGAAAGGCTGATGCTTACGGTACAGTATATGCTTGAAAGAAAATGGTTATCAATGTAGGTGAAGTGTTTAGGTGGTAAGGTATGAATTACTCAGATATATGCACAGGTGTTAATAAATTAGTACTTTATACCATTATGGTTGTTTTATAATGTTTTTTATATATTTTTCAAGTTATTGCATTCAGTAATTTATGTTTTTGTTTACAGAATGTTCTCAATCGTGTGATTCTTGATGACATGAAGTCCAACAGGGAAAGTATATCAGATGCTGTATTAGCAGTAGATATAGTTAGCAAAGAGAGTATATATGGCTTCCATGGAAATAAAAAAGTACCATTCCTGCAAATAACACTTGCTCTTCCAAGACTAATTCCTGCAGCAAAGCGACTTCTTGGGGAGGGGAAGGTGTTTGTGAACGGTATTGGAACTCCCGTATATGAAGCATATGAATCAAATATTGATTTTGAAATCAGGTGAGAGTATGACTAATATTTTTAGTTTTAATATTCAAGAAATATTGAATATTTGTCGTATCTATGGATTCATTTGTGATCTTGCATATGCAAGTTGGCTATGAAATAGTGTGTGTGAGGCATTTCTGCTTGTAATTTCAATCCAGCTTTTTCAGATTCTACAATGTTAATGTAGTAATCACCAGCCCAGAATAGGTGTACAGGTGTGTGTAGATGACGAGCACTAATTAGGAAGACCATAATGGAGAATCACTTACGTGGTGTCCAATAATAACGTGGTTCTAACACCAGCTATAGTTCCCAATGCTGCACATGCCGTTACATCGCTGGCCTCTCATTGGCTGAGTAAGTTTTGTCATGGCTTCACGTGCCTCTGAATGGTCATGCTCTGTGGCATGTACGTCAGTGTTCCACTGTCCCCACAACCTACACGTGCTCCTTGGAGACTGTGAAAAAGGCCAAAATTCCTATCTTGTGTAACTCAAGAATCTTATTTCTCTCTGATTGGTTGATACGTCAGTGTACCACTGACCTCTTCATATACAGTCTCTCCTCGACTTACGACTGGGTTCCGTCCCAACAACCAGGTCGTAACTCAATTTGGTTGTAAGGCGAAAAGGCGAAAATAATACATAGAAATTCTAAAATGAAATACAGTACAGTAAAAGTAATCATTAATGAAAAATGAATAAAGTGTGACTGAGCACTTACCTTTAATGTAGTCAGCGGAATGCACACGGGGCCTCAATAATTTTCCATTCGGCATGATTACATGTTGGATCAGGAAACTGAGAGGAGGAAGAACCTTGGGGCTACCAGGTGGGTCATCCAATTTTGCTTTCTTCGAATGGAACAGCATAGCACTTACTTTTGAGGCTGAGGTATTACGGATTATCTTTAGGAGTGAAGAGGCAGTGGTGGGGCGTGAGGAGACAGCAGGTGGGGGCTGCAAAACTCTCGTAATTTAAGGCTGTGTTTGCCTTTTCTTTTCGTAAAATCTCCTGCCTTGGCAACAAGTATGTACGGATGATCTCTGTCTCCAACTTTGCAGCCTTTCAACATTTTGATCCATTTCTTCGAACATTTGCATCCCTTTATTAATAGTAGCAAATGCCTCTGCTATTTGTTTCACTGAAAACTTTTTTGGAGGTGCAGGTTCTTCTTTAACATTTTGTCTCTCCTCTTCTTCTGCAAATTTCTGTGCATACAGTTCAATAAGATCCTTGTTACTTAGCTTTTCTGCTACATTTTCCACCAACTGCTCAACATCTTCATTATCAATTTCCAACTCCAGCTGTTTACCCAACTCCACTATCTTGTTACTAATCTCAGAAATTGCTTCATCTTCACTAAATCCTTGAAACTGTTCACATATCTTTTCAGGACCTTCTTCCATATTCCATTCATGCACTGACCTGTAACCTCATCCCATGCTGTAGCTATGTTCTTTGTACTTTGCAAAATGTTGTAGTCCTTCCAAAACTCTCTGAGCGTTTTCTCACCTTCAGTAGCAGCAACAGCCTGAGTGAAGGTCGTACGTAAATAATTCGCTTTAAATACAGCAATAGCACCTTGATCCATGGGTTGGATGATAGAGGTAGTGTTAGGTGGAATGTAAACTACCTTAACATCAGGGTGCAGGTCGTGCAGGTGTGGTGGGTGTCCCGGAGCATTATCTAAAATTAATAAAATCTTGAAGGCAACCCCTTGTTGCAGACAATACTCCTTGGTTCGTGGAATGAAACAACTAAGGAACCAATCCTCAAACAGTGCTAGGGTCATCCATGCTTTCTTAATACTGTGATAAAACACTGGCAGTGCGTGCTTGCGGACATTTTTAAAAGCCCTTGGGTTCTCTGAATGAGATATATCATGAAGGGTTTTGCTTTGAAACCAGCTACATTCCCCCCCAACAGAAGTGTGATTCGGTCCTTCTTTGCCTTGAATCCCGGCATTGTTTTCGCCTCTTTGTGGATGTATGTCCGTTCAGGCATGCGCTTCCAAAATAAGCCAGTTTCATCCACATTAAATATTTGCTTAGGCAAATAATTTCCCTCCACGATGACACGATGTAGCTCCTCCTTAAAAGCTTCAGCAGCACCCACATCAGCACTTGCTGCCTCTCCACTCACCTTTGCACTGTGCAAACTGTAACAGTTCTTAAACCTTTGGAACCACCCATGACTTGCTGTGAAGGTTTGGTCGCACTCATCTTCTGCCTGCTCTTTCAGGCTTTCGAAAAGGCTTCTTGCCTTAGCCTGTATGGTTAGAAGGCTTTAGGGTACACGCTTTTGCAGCTGATCTTCCATCCACCTCACAAGTAATTTCTCCATCTCATGAAGAGGACCTTGTCTATTTTTCGTTATTACTGTTCCCTTTATAGGTGCTGATCCTTTCACTACCTCACGAATTCGTTCCTTGTCCTTCAAAATTGTTGATATCATCGAGTGAGAGAAGCCAAGGTTGCGTGAAATGGTTGCTACCGTTTTTCCATTTTCATATTGCATTATTATTTTAATTTTCATCTCAAAAGTAATTGACTCTCTTTTTCTTCTCAGCACCACGAGAACTCTCAATTTTATGCTTGCCAGCCATTTTAAAGGGATTTACAAACGAAAATTTTGTCAGTACAGTACACAGCGCAATCACTAACAAACACCAACTGAGCGGGCTACGACGTGGTTGCTGTACACCATGAGGCGGCCCAGCCCAAACTATCGTACGGCATCACATTACGACCAAACGTCGGGACTCGAAAGTACGCAATGTGAAAAATATTTTATACGACCATGGCCGTTGTATGTCTGGGTTGTCGTAAGTCGAATACAGGTACTCCTCGACTTACGACCTACTCGACTTACCTCCTTCCACACTCAAACCATCCTCTGAGCTATGGACACAGTTCAGGCAGTCAACCAGCTGACTCACAGACGTGTGACTGCTGCACTGGGTGTGTGTATGCCTTGACGTTATGTCGGGGGGAGGGAGGGAGAGCAGCTACACAGTTATAGCCCAGTAACCCACCGGCTCAACACACATTCACTTTCCACACACTGATGCTCTAGATTTTTCCTTATTTTATAGTTTTATATTTTCTTTATTTCTAAGCCACATTAGAGTATTGTAAAGATTTTTCCACAACTTTAATAGTTTCATTGCATGTAACAATATATGAGACGGCTGGGCTGGTAAGTTGGCCATGCAGTTTAAAGCTAAGGCCTTGGCTATAACCAGCTCCACACACATTCACTTCTCACACATACACACCATGCTCTTCTTTTTTCTTATTTTATAGTTTTATTTGTGTGTGTTTGATACTACAATAATACAGGTAAAATAAATAATTGTCCTAAGGGCAAACACATAAAGGGAATATACATTTCTTTGTACACAAGTAAAAATGTATTCCCCCCCCCCCGAGTCCGCAAATGTTCGCACGATTCGCGGCCATTTTGAGAACCTAACCCCCGCAAATTTGGGGGGGTCCCCTGTACAGTAAATCCTTGGTATTCGCGGGGGTTAGGTTTCAAGGAATAGCGAGAATTGGCAAAACCACAAATGGCAACTTGTACTACCTTAGTGCACTAATGTATACCTATACTGTGTATGAGAAACTTAAGTCACCAATATTAGTTACCTTCATATGGAGGTTTGGAGCTTGCTGAAGTGGTGTACTGTACAGTAGGGAGAAAGCATAGGGAGATCATGAGGATCACTGTTGGAAGAGGGTGATGCAGTGGTGGTTGGTGGAGAGGCAGGTGGTGAAGAGGCTGGTGGTGAGGTGGTGTGTGGCCGGGAGGCAGGTGGTGAAGTGGCGCGTGGCCAGGAGGCTGGTGGTGAGGTGGTGTGTGGCCGGGAGGCAGGTGGTGAAGTGGCACGCGTGGCCAGGAGGCTGGTGGTGAGGTGGTGTGTGGCCGGGAGGCAGGTGGTGAAGAGGCGCGTGGCCAGGAGGCTGGTGGTGTGTGGCCGGGAGGCAGGTGGTAAAGAGGCGCGTGGCCAGGAGGCTGGTGGTGAGGTGGTGTGTGGCCGGGAAGCAGGTGGTGAAGTGGCGCATGGCCAGGAGGCTGGTGGTGAGGTGGTGTGTGGCCGGGAGGCAGGTGGTGAAGAGGCGGGTGGCCAGGAGGCTGGTGGTGTGTGGCCGGGAGGCAGGTGGTGAAGTGGCGCATGGCCGGGAGGCAGGTGGTGAAGTTGCGCATGGCCGGGAGGCAGGTGGTGCGTGGCCGGGAAGCAGGTGGTGAGGTGGTGCATGGGTGGGAGGTGGGTGGTAGAGCGGCAGCAGCAGCTGATTGAGTCAGGAAGAGAGACAAATTAGCTAGGCGAGTGGTTGGTTCTTTCTTGTAGAACTTCATGATTGGTAGTTGTTTCCTCTTGGCTTTGAGGTTTTTAAACATTTCCTGCTTTGGAACCAATGCCTGGTTGAGTCCTCAGACAATCTTAAGGTTCTTTTCCATGGAAGGGTCGGGGTCAACAGTGAAATTAATTACCAACTTTACCTGTCGACATAGTTCGCCAAAATTGTCCAAGCCCCAACCTTCTTGTTGTAATTCCATAATGTCTTCCTCTTCATCTTCCTTGGCACTTTTTACCAACTCTTCCAAATCTTCTTCTGTCAGCTCCTCTCCAAGCCCATCAATCAGCTCTTCTATGTCTTCAGCAGCCATGTCCACAAACCCCTCACCACCCAACTGACGTGCAACACTCACAATGTCATTCACATCCTTTACTATGAACGGAAATCCCTGGAAGTTATTCATACACTCAGGCCATAAGGTTCGCCAACAAGCATTCACTGTCTCTGGTTTGAGTTCTTTGAATGATTCACTGATGTTGGTAATGCAGTCCACAATGCTGTACTCCTTCCAGCACTTGTTAACATTAAGGTCAGGGTCTGTGACCATGGCCCTATGGATACGACCAAAAGATCGTCGTGTGTAATATGCCTTGAAGGTGCATATTACACCCTGATCAAGAAGCTGAATAAGATCAGCCACCTCTACACCTGAATGGCTAAACCTCAATCTTTCTGGGTAGCCTGGTGCATTGTCTATCAATAATAACACCTTGAATTCCATTTTCTTGGAAGCAAGGTTCTTTTCCACTTCTGGGACAAAGCATTTATGGAACCAATCCAGGAATGCTTGCACAGTTTCCTATGCCCTTGTGTTTGACTGGCAAAAGGTTCCTGTTTTTACCCTTTAAAGTCCTAGGGTTTGCTGAGCGGTAAAGCAAGCCAGGTTTGATCATGTGGTCAGCTGCACTGCCACAGAAGATGAGCATCACTCTTGTCTTTGGCTGCCTTGGACCCAGGGGCACACCTCTTCTGCTTATTAATGAATGTTCTATCAGGCATCTTTTTCCAATATAGACTGGATTCATCGGCATTAAAAACTTGCTCTGGTCTATAGCCTTTCTCTTCTATTATTTTCTTTAATTTTGCAGGAAGTGCACCTGTGGCACTAAAAGTTGGCTCAATAGCCACACTAGCCCCTTCACCACCTGTTGACTCTTAAAAATGGGCATGAAGACTCTTAGCCTTCTCACGAGTTATGTTGCTGTGGATCAGCACAGTTTTGCGGTGCTGGTCTTCAATCCAAATGTTCATTGCTGTTTCTGTTTTTACTATGTTCTTGTCATGAACAATCTGTGCCACTTTAGCACTTGCAGGAGCAATCGCTTGAACAGAATCACGAATTGCTAGTTCATTCTTCCTTATGTGCCACACTGTGGATTCGTTCTTACCAAACAACCGACCAGCCGTGGCAGCACTCCTCCCCTTCTTTAATTTATCTAATAATTCAGCTTTCTTTGTCAGGATCATCACTGACTTTTGCCTTTTACGTTTCACTCCATTAGCATCACTAGCACTACTAGGCAGTCTTTTAGGGGTCATGTTAACACAGAAACACTAAAGTTTTGAGTACAACACAAGAGATGATGCGTTGCAGGCAATGGTTGAGCACGAACAGAGTTGGAGGAGATGCTGCGGGCACGTGGGGTGACTGGTTGCCTGCAGGAGAGGCTCACAAACTAGCTACCATAGACACCATCTGCTTACCACGAATCGTTGAAATCGCGATCACAAACTTGCGAATTACAAGAGTACTGCACAGTCAGCCAAAGATGCACCGACCCCACCCTGGGTCTCGTGCTCGCTATTTTACCTGGCAATACTTGGTAAAGGAAGGCTGTATGTAAAGGTGATTGTATCACTGTCAGGACAATTATTAAACAAACCAAAGGTAGAATTATTATAATAATAAACTATTCATTGTTATTTAAGGTCATGACAAGTTTCCAAATGTTCATATATTTGTTTAAATAATGAAGAAAATTATATTTATGAATTGGCAACTGAACTACAACCACAGCTGCCACAAGATTCTCACATCAAATTTTTTTCATTATTTTAGCAAATATACGAACATTTGGAAATGCCTCATGACCTAAAATAACAATGAATAGTTTATTATTATAATAATTCTACCTTTGGTTTGTTTAATAATTATCCTGACAGTGATACAGCCGAAAACAGATCCACCAATCACATTCACCTTTACATACAGCCTTCCTTTACCAAGTATTGCCAGGTAAAATAGCGAGCACGAGACCCAGGGTGGGGTCGGTGCGTCTTTGGCTGACTGTACATGATAACATGAAGAGTAGATCATATTTGGGGGTTCTGCCACACTCAACCTTTCAATGAGGGAGGCTTCAGCAAGTGAGTGTGATGCTCTGGGAATTATGAATGTTACCTTTAGTGTTGCACAGCTGTTGAGGGAAATTTTCTTATAAATATCACTTGCAGTATTGGTGTGATGAGTAAGCAGCAGATGTCTGTTTTACCATAATTTCATTCATTTAGACCCCATCTACAATGTTTTAACAAGGTGATTTATTGTTGGTACCTAATAACCAATATAATTCATGATTTTTGCAAGAAAAGTCTGTTTAATAATCATAAATGTCTAAATAGAATTGTGAAGTACCTCACGAACTTCAGCTAAGGAATGTTTCATGGTTTCAGGGGGGCTAAGATGAGGAGGAATGACCTTGTTTAGAAAACCATAAAATCCATGAATCCAACATGCTTTTATTCTTAGCAGTGACAGATCTCCAACGTTATAGCGGGATACATTTTTGGTATTTCAGATTTATGGTGGATACTCATCTGGTGGGATGTTGCTGGGTAGAACTCCCAGCCAAAACGTGGAGCATCAGAAAAGAGAAACTTGACACTCGGTGTCAGCTTGAGGTGAACAAGATAATTATAAGATAGAGAGATACTGTACCTACATTATAGCAAGAACATGTTTAAAATGTGAAGAAGAGTCAAGTTACTGTATTCATTATTTTTAAAGTGAAAGTTATTTCTATTTACTCTTGACTAATTTTTTAAAAGTAAAATTAGTTTTTGGCCTCTGGCATATATTTAACCATACATATATAAGTTACTTCTCAAGTAGACATTGATATCTACTATTTCTGCTTTGTCACAGGTGGATGTAGCATGGAATAAGTTTGTGGTTCATGAACCAGAGGGCGACTGGGCACGAGTGGCACCATTCAGAATCCTCTCATTTGATATAGAATGTGCTGGACGTAAAGGTAAGGAGATAATTGACAACTACTGTACTTTGTTAGGTTAAGACTGGAGTGTCTCATAGTACAGACCTTCTGTTAGGCCTCATCAATAATTTGAGTTACAGAAATATGCATAAATAATATGCTTTTAATGTAATTGTTGTCAGTACAGTAGAACGTCGATATAACGCAAGATATGTTCTAAGAGAGGTCGCTTTAAACCAGATTCACACTAAATCGAAGTGTTGTTTCAATGGAATAATTTAGTTTGGCACTTGAGAGAAACACAAAATACTAAAAAGACTTACAGTCTACCCAGATGCACCTCAGCCCATCTCCTAGAATAAACAAAACATCATTTTTTGTAGTATTATGTTAAAACAAACACTCTAAAATCAACACAGCTAAAATTAAGGGATGCAATATGGTCTGTTTACTGGCTGGGAAGATGGGAGGAGGGGGAGGTGAGGTGATATGTTTGACAATTGATGCCAAGGTCTAATGCTTATTTATTTATCTGTCCTTAAGAGTGACTTTACGTTTTTCTCTTATAAAATTTCACTGAACTGACCTGGCAGAATATAATTAACATTGCTGGAATTCTTATAAGATAGTGATTAGCTTGAATATATATCTTATACAGTGGTCCCTCGGTTAATGAACAGTTCGATTAACGAAATTTCGGTTCACGAATTGGCGCCCATAAGGATCTTCAATTTGGTTAACGAACAAAACTTCGATTTACGAAATCCTTACAACAAACACGTTTTGTTGTGAGCATCAGCTGATCGGCTAGTCCGCCAATACAGTAATCTGTTCTATGTTTACATTCGTTTCCAGTGGAGTAAATATCAAGAAGGTTGTGTTCTTGAATATTTTTGCATTTTTTATATTAAAATTATTGGTCATTCTAAAATTTAGCCATCCAAGTTCTGTCTACATAAAGTTTTTCAACTATTATTTTTGGCTTTATATATGTAACTTTATTCATTTATTGAAACTCATTTACATGCACACACTGTCCTAAGGGCAAAGCTGTACTGCACATGTAATCAAAATAATGTACAAAATGATTACTAAAATTTTTGTCCAGTGCAAACTATCGCATGTTTACATTCAAATTAATCACTATCTTATAAGAATTCCAGCAATGTAAAGTATATTCTCTCAGGTCACTTCTATGACATTTTATAAGCAAAAAACAAAAACTCAATCTAAAGGACATAAATAAACAAATAAATACTTCACTAGACCTTCGGCGCTAACTGTCAAACATGTCACTGTCACCCCTCCCTTCCCCCCCCCCCTTCCCAGCAGAGGTTTGGTGGTTATACAGTAGGCTTTAAGTTTTATCTTATATAATATCACAGACTAAAGTTAGGAGAATATAATTTGCATTGCTGGAATCCTTACAAGACGGCAAATAATTTGAATATAAATATCATATATTTTGCACAAGAGATAAAAATTAATCACCTGTATCACACTACAGTAGTGATTTAAGAGTAAGAGTGTATATGTACGCATATATATATATAATGATTTAAGGGCGATTTAGGGGAATTTTATGAGTGTTTCTGACTGTGCATTTTTTTACTTTACTTTGCATCTACTTTTCTGTGAGCTGGAACCAATTACCCAATATCCCATTGAAATAATGGATTCGGTTAACAAAATTTTCGGTTAACGAACGACTCTGTGGAACGAATTGTGTTCGTTAACCGAGGGACCACTGTGTATATTTGTTTATTTATGTCTTTTAGATTTAGTTTTTGTTTTTTGTTTATAAAATGTCACAGAAGTGACCGGGGAGAATAAAATTTACATTGCTGGAATTCTTATAAGATAGTGATTAATTTAAATATAATCATGCTATAGTTTGCACTAGACAAAAATTTTAGTAATCATTTAGTACAATATTTTCAGTACATGTACAGTACACCTTTACCCTTAGGACAGTGTAGCGTGCCCAAAGAAACATTAGGCGCGAATTTTAAAATATGATGCACCAGATTGACTCGCGCAAAATAGGAAAGATTCGCTTTAAATTAAAACATTGTCCTTAATTGTGGGTGTAGCTTTAAATCAACAATCTTAAATTGAATCGCTTTAAATCGACGTTCTACTGTATCCTTAGGTAGTATAATTGTTAACTGAAGTGAACATGAAATTTTTTTTGAGAAGTTATGTACCTTGACCTTAAAGATTGGCTTATGAATATTGGTGATCAGTTAGTGTAATTACTGTACAGTACTAGGAAACTAAAAATGACATTCGGAGACTAGGCTTAATTTTTTTATTCAGTTAACCCTAAAACGACAGTGAGCTTTTTACATAGACTATTTGCCCTCACGAGGAAAGATGAAAAAAAAAGGGTAAAATTGTAAAAATTTCTCATGAAAAAGACAAGATTTGCTCACTGAATACAGTGGTGTAATCAAATTTAATCTACAGTACACTTAGCAAGAGAGGTGTACTGAACTAAGGCATGGAAGAAAAGGCGTATGTGACCAGGCGGGTGGTTAGAGGCTATTGGGGTGTGATATGCACTCCAGCTTTGGACCTTTGTTTTTATTAATGATTTATTGATATATTCTTGTTATGATCAGCCTCTTATAGTGCATGGGACTTTAAGACTGGTCTGCCCTTGGAGTTGTATGCTGATGATTTTGTGCTCATATCAGATAGTACTGAAGAGGCAGTAGAAATATTAAGAAATGGAAGAATGGAATAAAATGAAAGGGTATGAGAGTGAATGTGGCAAAAAAAATGAAAAGTATTGATTAGTGTGATGGGTGAAGGCCCTATAGTGGAAAGTAGCCATGTGCTGTCTGTAATAAGGGTGTTGGCAGCAACTCATTAATGTGCAGTGAGCGTGGGAGGTGGGTACACAAGAGATGCAATGGCGTAAATGGCAGCCTGCAGAAGGTTGGTGACTTTTAAGTGTCTTACATGTACAGGTAACCTCGTCGCCTGGGCAAGGCTGGAGTAACTTGACATGGGGATTTGTCCCTGGACTGTGTTGATGGTCAGTGCTGGAGGGGGTGCTGAAGTCAACTTAGTTGCAAGAGTCAAAAGTGGTATGAAAGGAAAGATGTATGCATCTGGCGTGAGAAGTGGGATGTTGTATAGTAGTGGAATGCAGGTGGTTAAAGAGGAGGACATGTAGGCTTGAGTGAGCTGAAATGAGAACAGTGAGGTGGATGTGCAATGTGACACTGCAAGACAGGAGGCCCTGTTCAGAGCTAAGAGGGCAACTGGGTATTGAAGGTACTATATTGGCAAAGTTTTGAATAGACTAAGATGGTCTCGACATGTGGAGAGTACATGAGTCAAGAGGTGCATGAGTTTTGATGTGGAGGGGAGGAGAGCCAGGGGTAGGCCAAGAACGGCATGGGAAGAAGTTGTAAGATATGACATTAAAGTTAGGAACCTGAGAAGAGAGGCTGGCAAGATAATGTGCAGCATGGAGAGCTGCATCAGGTAATTGTGTCTAACCCACACAAGGATGGAAAATGACTTTTAAGATATCGATGATGATGGTGATGATGATTATGATGATGATGAGGATGATGAATACAATCTGGGTCTGTCAAAAAGAACCCTTAAAACTTTAATCAGGAAAAATCTTGTTGATGAATGTGATGCAAGCAGACAAGTGCAAACAGGCATTAGTCAATCCATTGTCTACCATGATGAGATGTAAAGGATGAACACAAAAAAATATGCAGAGCCTGATATACATACCTAGAACCAGTCTTATACTGTAAGTGCAAACTTACTTGTGTCTGATGAAATATTTGATAATGGTTATTAATTTGAGATTTTTGTACGGTTGTGGCCAGGTGTGTTCCCTGAGTATGATAAAGATCCAGTGATTCAAATTGGCAACATGGTGATACGTCAGGGTGAAGCTGAACCTTTTGTGCGCACCATCTTCACCCTGAAGGAGTGCGCTCCCATCGTGGGTTCCAAAGTCAAGTCTTTCTCCCAGGAGAAGGAAATGTTGGAAGTAAGTATATGATATGTTTGTTCCATGTACTGTACTGAATGTGTACACTCGGTGAAAAAATTTTTTTTTTTTTTTTTTCTTTTAAAAACCAGTTTTTGTGATAAAGTCCAGAATGCAACATCTAGCTTTATGCTTAGGTATGTAAATGCCTACCATTAACACAAAAGGCTTCTACTTGGTCTATCACATCTGTTACTTTTGCTTCTGGTAGATTGACTGACTACTGATTCGTGTCCCAATGGAGACCTAACCTATCCAATTTCGGTCAACATGAATTTGAGTAATGGTATGTACAAACTGGATAATTTTGTGATAAAGAAGATTTGTAACTAGGTGAGAAGGTTGGGTCATCTTACCCTATGGCCTGACTACGGACAGCTGCTCTGCTTAGAGATGGCATGGTAAATTTTTTTATTAAGAAGATTAGTAAGGGTTGGGTCACTGCCTTATGACCAGAACATTGTGGTCACCTGCTGTCCCCTAGGGACTTGATCTCACTCTCCTCTCCTGTATATATTAGCCTTGTCAAGTATTTCTCCTTAGTCTGTACACACCCCTGAAGATGTGAATTACACGAAAGCGCTTGGGAACTTCGTGTTTGCTTGTTTTCTTGTGGTTATCAGCATATATATATATATATATATATATATATATATATATATATATATATATATATATATATATATATATATATATATATATATATATATATATATATATATATATATATATATATATATATATATATATATATATATATATATATATATATATATATATATATATATATATATATATATATATATATAAAATACAGGTAAAGGAAATTACTGTCTCTCGAAGGAATGGCTCACTGTCCCAGCCGCGAAAATGCCAGCAACTTTAAAACTATCCTTAGACATTCTTGGGTACATCCAGGGTGTCATCCGCGAATAGTAGAGGACCGCAAAATAAAAATCCGCAAATTATCCGGGCGTACTGTACTATACAGTCAACCCTCACTTTACGCGGTCCCACATTCCGCGTTTCCATGTTTATGCGGTGCCCTGCCGGAACCCAGGATGCTCACATTCCGCGGTGCGTGTACCCCTTTACATGGGTGAAGTATAATTTTTTTATTTAGCTCATAAAATTCATACAAATTATCCGGCCAGAATATAATTTACATTGCTGGAATTTTTACAATTTGATGATCATTTTGAATATAAACATCATAGATTTTGCATTAGACATACAAATTTTAGATCTAATGTTTACTCTGAGGAAATATGTTATGTTTTGTGCAAAATATATGACATTTATATTCAAAATATTCCTGGTCTTACAAGGAATCCAGCAATGTCAATTATATTTTCCTAACTTTAGTCTGACGTATTATTTATTACTAAAAAGGTAAACATTCTGGTTTTCCCACACATTTATCTGGTAGGGAGGGTTGGTGGGGGGTGGGGGGGAGGGAGGGACCGACCGACCATCTGGCGCAGTTGGAAGAGGGGGGGAGGCAAGTTGGGGTACTTTGACAGATAGTGTCATGAAGAATATTTTTTTTTTTTTTTACTGAAGATATTTGTTTTAGCTCATAAAATTCATACAAATTACCTGGCCAGAATATAATTTACATTGCTGGAATTCTTACAATTTGATGATCATTTTGAATATAAACATCATAGATTTTGCATTAGACATACAAATTTTAGATCTAATGTTTGCTCTGAGTAAATATGTTATCTTTTGTGCAAAATATATGACATTTTTTATTCAAAATATTCCTGGTATTACAAGGAATCCAGCAATGTCAATTATATTATCCTAACTTTAGTTTGAGGTATTATATATTAAAATTTAGTGGTTTTCCCCCCAAAATTTCTCAGAGAGGGGAGAGCCAGCAAGTGTAGTGTGAGAAGAGGGGGAGGGAGTTGAGTCCATTATTTGAATGGACATTAACTTGGCGACTGTATTTCTCTATTTCTCTTAAGTATTAATTGTGTGCATGTACCATCATAAAATTAAGATGTTATTTTTACTAGAACATAGGTATTGTGTCGGAAAAAGTGGAGTTTGGGGGTCAGCCGGTCTCTATTTCATTTAATCCCATATGTTATGTTATTCACTTTTCGCATTTCTCACTTTCTGCGGTTTCCTGTGGGTTACATTAACCGCGTAAAGTGAGACCCAACTGTACTGTATACCAGTAAATATGAGGAATATATAAAAGTCGCTCCTCGACTTACAACATATGCGACTTACGACAACCCGGATTTATGACGGTCATTGTCGTTACATAGTTTACATTATTTTCGAGTCTAGACGTTTGGTCGTAATGTCTAATGATGCCGTACGACAACTTCGGCTGGCACGCTGCAGCGTGTGTGCAGCGTCCACTTTGAATCCCGCTCAGTTTGTGGATTAAAAAGGTAAAAGTTTTACAATTATTACCTGTGCTATGTATTATTTTCGTGTGTTCGACTTACGACCTGGTAGTCGGAACAGAACCCCGTTGTAAGTGGAGGAGAGACTGTAATAATAAATAAAAATAAAAGAAAACACACTGCATTGCCATTTGGTAATCATTTGACAGGACATGAGACAGAACAGCTGAGAGATCTTTCATGCTGCTAACCCCCCTTTCCTTCCTTCTCTCCCTTCCGTGCTCTGTGGACTAACTGCTGAGCACATAAGAAAAGTTTAATACCTTTACATTTTTTACCTTATGATTATTTATTTATTTACCCTGTATTTATTTATTTTATTTATTTTTTGTACATTGTGTGTGCATGCTTCTGGGTGGTGAGTTGGTTACACAATTACATGCCATCTCCATGGACATTATTAATTGTTATTTGATATTGAGATTTATTTATTTTGCTTACTTATTTTTCCAGCAATGGGCAAAGTTTATGAGAGATGTGGACGCAGACATCATTACCGGCTACAACATTAACAACTTCGATTTTCCTTATTTACTAAATAGGGCAAAACATCTTAAATCACCAGGGTTTTCATACCTTGGCAGAATTAAAAGCAAAAGGTATGTGTTTAGTTCATTTTTTCATCAGGTAAAATAGTAAATTTTTTTCAGAATGTAAAATATGCGATAAAAGCCACGTGAAGGAAATATTTTTTATACCTTGAATCTTTGTTTGATGACTCAACAAATGCTCCAACCATGGTACAGTATTTAGGGTTAGTATTCAAGAACCCCTAGCAATGCTTTAGATGAGACTAAGCTTATGATTTGTCTACTTCCCCATCATAAGGCAGCATTTCAAGCAGATTACCTTCACAGACAGTAGTATCATGGAGGCAAACGAATTGACGTTACACTGATAAGTAGCTCGCTGAACCTAATGCATCAGACATCTCTGATGAATTCCAAGTGTAACTGTGCACTTCCAACCATACCACCACCCTGTGTGGATGTTAACTGGTTCTTGCTGCCTCCTCTTGGAGCTTAGTATTTTTGTCCTCACTCTGCTGACATGTCTGTTAGGTGTTAGAATATGTTGTGTTTAATTTAATACAAAAACAGGCCATCAAAAGACTCACTTTACTAGGAAATTTCTGTTATTACACATTTGCAGTATATCTCATCACTTGCTATTCTTTCGATACTTCCAGTCACTGTTTTGATTAGGGACACCTACTGTATAGTGTCACCAACATACAGTACTCTCCTGCAGCCAGTGGAATTACTTGGAGGACCTGTGACTTTTTTGTTGAAATTCCATTTTGAAAAAGCTTGAATTAATTTTTATCATGGATTGGTACTCTTGAACTCCTTGCCTCAGAGTATTGTCTTTTACTTTACTTACTTTTATTCTCTTCACCACTGATCGGCTCATTAGCTGCTTGGACATTCGGTCACATCTCTGTTACGCACTGTTGGCAAGTACTGGGCATGCACTGGCTCCTGAAAGTAAATGAACCTGCTCTAGTGTTGGTCAAATCTGGTCTTTAAAGAGCTTACAATCAGAACTGTCACAACACTAAATGGCAGATTGTTCCAAGAGTTCACAACTCTCCTTCCAAAAAAGTTTGCCCTCACAGATTTCTGGACTTGTGGCTTCTTCAACCTTTAGCTGTGACCCCTTGTGGGGCGGGCATCTGCCAGCTCCAGGTATGGACACTAAACTGAATAGTGCCCTCTGAGATGTTTATCCACTTCATTTAGATCACCCCTTGCCCATCTGTAGTATAGAAGCTAGGCAGTTGCAGGCATTTTAATCTTTCTGGATGACTGAGGTGCCATAGTGCAGGCACCAGTCTGGTGGCCATCCTTTGGACATTTTCTAATCAGCTGACAGTCTGTAGCATATCTCTGGGACCAGATGGGGTGACAGTATTCCAGACTGGGAAGCATCTCACCCTTGAAGATCATTATGAGGGACTGACCATCTAGATATCTGAACGACCTTCTCCTCACAATGTCCCGAGAACTTCAGCTCATTGTCAACATACACACCCAGGTCCTTTTCACATTCAGTCTCTGTTAATGCAGTTTCTTTGTCCCATTGGGCCATGTGCTACACCTCCTCACTGTTGATACGACCTAGATGCATCTTACACTTCATGACATTGAATCTTAGCAGCCATTCCTTCGACCACTCTTGAAGCTGGCAGAGATATTTCTATGGCTCTTTACAGTCCATTTGCTTCTTAATTTCCCTGAATAACTTGGCATCATCCACAATCATTTGTATGGAGGAGTGTGTAGTTTCAGGCATGTCATTTATGAAACAAACAAACAACAACGGGCCCAATATACTGTCTTGTGGTACCCCACTTGTCACAGGTACACATGATGATTTCATGGCATTAATCAGCAGTCACCACACACTGCTTGTGATCATGAAAAAAGTCTCCTATCCATGCTAGTGTAAAGGCCTGGGACTTAGGGATAGAAATCCCTTGCCGGCCTAATCAGGATCTTATAAGAGGAAAGTCAAGAACCATGGTTTTCCGAGGGAAAACAAACAACCGTTAGAGATTGACATATCTTTAGCAGGATCGCCTCAGCATAAAACCATGTTGGCAGTGCTTTACAAGGGTGTTTTGTAGTAGATATTACATCATAGCATCTTTCATAATGCTCTCTTAGAGTTTACACACTACAGTAGAACCTCGATAAATCGGACTAATTGGGGCAGACCCTAGTCCGAAAAAAGTGAATATGGGGGATGGGGGGTAGAAAACACTGCTTATCTGAACTGTTTAAAGAAAATCAGTTGTTGTTATGATTTTACTGCACTTCAACAACTAAGGTCTTCAAGTGTATAACAAAGTTATTGAAAGAATATTACATAAAAATTTTTTTATATTAAACAGAACTCTCTGGGTTGAGAATCAGACATGTAAGTCTGGTTGTCAACAACTGTTGTCACCGAGATGATTGTTATTTACTGTAAAGTGTTATATGTAAGTAACCACAGAATTTGTCCTATGAATACAGAGAAAACTGTATACTGTACAGTACTATAAAGATTAAAATAAGAACAAATAAGAGTAGGAGTATATTGTATGTGGAAGACAATTGTTTATGTGGGAGCAGCTGGCAGAGGGGGGTGGTAGCATGGGAGGGTGGCTCCCTCCCACTCTCTCCCACAAGATTCCTTTAACACTTCTTTATGCAATTCCACCGCAATTCTCATATAATTTAGGATCATTTGGTGCCAGGTTGATAAAACATTATCCTAAAAGAATCAGCTTTCCTGAAAAAAAATCCCACACTGAACATGAGTTATTTCATACTCATTTGTTTACAAAGAACAAACAGCTGATTGGCTTACCACAATGTCTGTCTTCAAGACTTAGTAAATTAGTACAATACAGTTGTGTATTTATCATAACTTAAATACTATTGCAGTGTATTTATCATCACTTAATAAATACTATCGTAGTGTATTTATCACCACTTAATAAATACTAGCGTAGTGTATTTATCATCACTTAATAAATACTATCGTAGTGTATTTATCATCACTTAAGTAATATTGTAGTGTAAAGTATTATGTATCTGCATATACCCTGTTTTGTTCAGTAATCATTTGTGTAAGTGTACAAGTAGCCAAACTGAGTCACCATATAACACTCAAAGGTGGTAAATAACATTTTTAAGAAGGTATCTTCTTATCAAATACTATACAGTGTGTTATAGTGACCCCTGTTGTAAGCTGGTCTACTGAAAGCTGTCACACGAATACATCTTGAGTAAACAACCTTCTGATACAGCTTATCCTTTTATTTTCAAGTTATATTACAAATCACATACAGTATTGTATTTTTCTCTATTACTGAAAATGTTATATTAATCTTGATGAACCATAAGCCATAAGAGGACAATCATATGAGAATACAGGTATAAACCTGACGAATGAGGCAACACCTGATCAGCCCCAGCCTGCTTACAGTGTCTTAGTTCTCAGTAGGCCAATAGCAAATCTGATGAGACCACTGTACAGTATTCAGTAAGTGTTGTTTATTTAATAAGATTCCATTATTTAATCTTCCCCATTTCTTAAACTTTTTTTTTTTTTTTTTTTTTTATATTTCTGGTGACCAGAGCATCCCAGAGTCCGAAAAAGGCAATTTCCGATATTTTGAAGTCGATTTATCGAGGTTTTACTGTATGCTGGTCAGGCTCACTGGTCTTCAATTATTCGTGGAGTGATGATCACCCTTTTTGAATATATGAGTCACAAGCCATTTTGTTCATCCGGGCATTTACAGAGCAAGATCTTAAGGGGCTCGGCAAGCTCGTTGCACAACTCTCTTAGTAGTCTAGAATGCACCATGTCAAGGCCGGGACTCTTATGAACCTTTAGCTTTGACAATTTATATCTTGTACCCTTTTCTGAGAACACAATGTGGGTCAGTGCTGTATCAAACCGTCTATCCTCAAATACAGGAAGATTGTTTGCATCCTCTCTTGTGAACACAGAGGAAAAGAATTTGTTCACTTCTGCCTTATCGTAGTCAGCATCTGTATAACTACCATCTTCATGCCTCAGGTCCAATATGCCTACTCACATTTTTTATTTCGACTTTGCGTAGTATTAAAAAGCCCTTGGGTTTGACTTGACCTTGCTTGCAATCCGCCTCTGGAACTCTTTTTCAGCCCTTCTACACTCTGACTTTGTTTAGTTCATGAATCTGGCATACATCCTCCTGTCCTGCTCAGCATTTGTCCTAACCCACATCTCAAAACTGAGCTTTCTTCTTAACTTTGTCAACTGCCGTATGGTTCATGTGTAATGGTCTCCTTGTATTGCTAGAGGCACTGGGTTTGGTCTTAGCGATCAAATGATTCACTTTACTGGTTATGATATTCAGCGTAGTGTCTGTGTTCTTATATCTTAGTGAGTCAGGCCAGTGAATACCCCTCATCTCCTCCCCCATCCTGTCGTAATTGCCCTTGTAATGTTTGAACCTTGGCCTGGTTTTGTTATGAACCAAGTAACAGTGACTTCTGAAGGACAGCGTTAGGTGGTGACTGGTGCCAACGGGGGCTAGGTGTTCCAGCTTGGCCACCACACCCTCCTCGTTAGTTATGATAAGGTCCAGTGGTTTGGATGTTTGTTCCCCTCTGTAGTGAGTCAGATCTTTCACATGTTGGAATAGAAAATTGTCCCTCAGAGTTTGTACAGAAAGAGTAGCAGGATTATTAATGTCATTTGGTGTGATTTCATTTCACCAGTTGATGTTGCCATAGTTAAAGTCCTCCATGACAAGGAGGTGGCTAGGGTTGAGTGCCATTGCATTGTCAATTAAGACTCTTAATTTTCTTTGGTTTAAGAAGCTACAGTTTGGGGATCTGTAGATACATCCAGCAATGAGTAAGTCTCCCCTTTTGTTTAATTTTGCACCACTTTGATTCTTCAAAAACATCCTCCCCCTGCACCCTCACCTGAATCATCCAAACCATCCTGCTTAAATATCTTTGTCTTTTGGCAAGAAAACACCATGGTGTACTTCTTTTTTTTTTATTGGGGGGAAAAAATGGATTACTAGGCTCCAGATTGATGACAACATGTTTGGACTCGCCTGAAAGGCATTTGAACATGTCCTCAAGAACCTGTTGTCGAAAGGCTCAGCTAGGGGCCCTCCTTCATAAGTGGTGACTTACTGCGATACACAACCTCCATTTTCCCCTTCAAGAATATGTGCATTTGTCCATATACAGTATGATAATATATAATCTCTGCAAGAGATAACATGAATCTGATTGATACTCAAGTCTATACTGTACACCCAGGAGATTCAGACTCTTGCGAGCATGAAGCTTCTAACTGTTCTCTTAAAGACTGGCAATTAGTAGAATCTACTTTTAAATAGTAGCATAAACTGCATTGTAAATGCAGTTTATACATTAATGGATAATAGGTACAGTTGCCCACAGGTATAGTGTTCCACTCCTTGGTGGCCTTTCCGAACATGTGGCAATGCCGGAATCACTTTATGAATGAATTGGTTATGTGACAACTGCTCTCCTCACATTACCACCGAGGGGTGGAACACTATGTCTGTGGACAACGTTACATAATAGTAATAATAGACCCATTAAACACAAAAAGGATTGATTAAGAGTTTCCCCAAGACATTCTAAGTAAGGACAGAAGACAAAACATGACCATGTTTGTTCCTGATCATTTGTTATTACTGTACTCAGATGACTGACACATACAGTAGACACCACTAATTTGGACATTATTTTTCTGCCTTGTTAATAGTGTTTCTCTGAGGGCTATTGACTTTAAGGTAGTCATGGATAATATTTGCTTATTAAAAAAAGTGGAGAGGAAGAGTGAGGCAGACAAAGTCCAATGTTATCATATTTTATTCTTATATCCTATTTATAGATCAGAAATAAAGGACTCAGTGCTACAAAGTAAACAGATGGGCAGACGTGAGAACAAGTCCATCAACATTGACGGACGCTGTCAGTTTGATCTACTCTTGGTAAGTCTGCTGTGATATTTTTATAGAGAAACTAATGATCAGTTATGGGTGATGACATTTTACCCAATGCCTATTCCCTGCCTCCCTCCCACTCACAGTGTCTCACACAAAAGACTGTAAACTAGATGTTGTGTGTGTGTATGATGTGGTGTTGAGGTATTAATTAATGAATAATAAATGAACTATTGTATTGTTAATGTCAGTACAGTAGTTTGATGAATAAGCGACAATTGTAGTATGCTATTATTCATCAAATGGCTGTCATTGATGATGCAATGTTGCTTATTTATTAAATAATACCACAACATCACACCCTAACACCACCCACACACCCCCATATTGTTTGACAAATTCATGTGTGGTTAGCTTCGTGGTGGTGAATTAAAAGATCAGCTGTTGGGGAACTTAGTGCTTGGCAACACTGGTGCATGTTATCACTCCTTTCCACCCCATCTCTCTAATCCCCCACACCTTTCTGCTTTCTCACTCCACATTTTAAAATGTTATGTAACATAATGTTGAAGGGATACAATGTGATAAGCGTAAGTATAAAAAATAATGTATTTTAGCCTTCATGTTTATTCAAGACATCTTCAGGTCCTCAGATCCACTAATCCCCCACCCGACAATGAGTGACCTGACATTGTACGAGAAGGTCAGTAATATGAGACCACTAATACCCCATCCTACCCCCACCTGACATTGCGTCAGGTCAGTTACACGAGACCCACTAATTCTCCACAGCTCCAAGGAAGTGGAAAATACCAGTCTTTGCTGTAACACACAGCTTCATTCTCGATCATATCATATAGATTTTTTGTTTAGACTCTTGGAAAACTCCCCAGCACACAGAAACATTATGAGGATGTGGGCTAGTATTTGTCTGTGCAAGGTGCATAGTTGAGACACTCAGAAAGTTTTTACCAGTAACCGAAAATATTTCCGGAGATGGGGGATTTTTTCGGGTTTGAGAAAGTCGTCCGGTTAGCCGGAATTCTCTCATCCCCAGAAGTGCTCTGCACCAATTGTTCTGGCTGGTGGGGGTATCACTGTAATAGAAACATTTAAACAAACACTGAACCCCCTAGTTTAAGGTAAGCCATGAATAATGTTTCTATGTACCCTGCATGTATCGTACGTCTGAGGTGTTTCCATAGGTGTGAGCATATTAACGGAATTAATCTCGATTTAGCGAACTATTTCACTAAATCGAGCGAAAAATAATGGAAAAATTCCTTCCGCTAAATTGAGAGTTTGTTATATCGGATTCCGTTAAATCAAGAGTACTGTATATACTGTACTGTGTTAGGTTGTGCAGTCACCTTTACTTGAAATATAAATAGTAAACTACAGTAAGTCTTCCATATACAAGACTAATTCTGTCAAGCTTTGTCTCTTATTGGAAGGATTCTCATAATGGGAGTCTTTCCTTTCTCTCCCCTGTACAGGTATTGTATACAGTACATAAAATAATTCAATAAAAATTTAATTCATGATTTCCCTACCACAATTACACATCTAACTACACATCTTATACTGTTTGGTACACTTGGGTACCAGGAACCCCAAATGCTTGGTCATGGAGTTTTCATAATAAGTTCTTGGTTATTTTTTTCATTTTCTTTGATATTGAAAATCTTTGTACATTACTGTTTTCAGTACCATTGGTTTTGTGTTTGTTTTGAGACAGTTTAAGGACAGTACATCTGATTGATAACAGACAGTATTCCCATTACCAGATTTTATCAGCTTAGTCCGCTAATTAAACCGGATATCCATTATTTGGAATATCCCTTTTTGAGAAGTCCCTTTTTCAGAGGGTTTACTATATAAAGGGTAAAGTTGGTAATGCCTAGTAAGTCTTTGTGTATTTTACCCTTTGCATTTTCTTTTTGTGTGTGTTTCAGGTGCTGGTGCGAGACTACAAGCTGAGATCTTATACTTTAAATGCTGTATCATATCACTTCCTCCAAGAGCAAAAGGAAGACGTCCATCATTCCATTATTTCTGACCTGCAAAATGGAAGCCCCCAGACACGCAGAAGGTAAAAATAAATCTGGTGTAGGTGTACTGGGAGTTCAGTCCTTTGTTATACAAAATGTACATTCTTGTGTGAGTGAAGGAAATAAATGAAAAATCTAAGGTTACACGTGTTATGCCATTCCGAGATTGCATTATCATATTTTGAAATATTTTGGAATATTGCTAGTTATTGCACATCACTTTTTTATAGCAGTGACAATACAGTAAAAGCAGTTGAGTATCGGCCATCATAAAGGTAACCTTAGCCATCTCATAGCAGTAAATGTTTTTTTTTTTTACGTCATAAAACTGATTGAGCATGTATAGATCCTATAGATCCATTGTGTAACGGTCAACATCTGCATGCAACTTTGTGATTACTGTATACAGTACCACTTATAAATGAGGGCTTCCTGCACTCTTCATGTGAGGTGGTGTGTGAGGAAGGACATAAAGATCAACCTGAGCTGACCTAAAGAATGTCTCCTGGCATGTACGAGATGTGATCCAAAAGTTCCCAGACTGGCTTAATAAAACCTTTCTCTTAGCAGATATCGAATTTCAATCCTCAACAGTTACTCACCTTAGGTGTAAGTTGTTTACTACATAGATTTTGCAGGAATCTGTGGTGCCAACCGGCCGTAGTGCAGCTTTATGTGAGTGGGTGTACCGGCCCATCTACTAAGTTGAGTCAGTCGCCACTCAACCCTCAACGTGGAGGGAACTATCGAGCAATGCTGTGCCATCAGATTTTTATTCAGACTAGGAAAAATTGGTGCAGAAACCCATGAAATAATCAAGGAAGCCTACAAAGATGAAGCAATGTCCAGGGCTCAAGTTTTCAGGTGGCACAAGAGCTTCAAAGAAGGGTGCACCTCCTTTTAAAAAGAGTATCATTCTGGGCAGCCTTCCATTGAGAGAAATGTCCAGAAAAATGACCAGCTTGTCCATGAAGATCGTAAGATGACCGCCCGTGAGATTGCCGAGCGATTGGACCTCTCATATGGAAATGTTAACCAGATTCTGACTGACGACTGGCAATTGACTGCTTCACCAGGACAACACACCTCTCTGTGAGTGATTTTCTGGCGAAGCACGGCGTGTCAGTGGTCCCCCACCCTCCATACTCTCCAGATCGGGCCCCCTGTGACTTCTGACTGTTTCCGAAGTTCAAGTTGAACCTTATGGAAAAGTTCATGGACAGAATGGAGATCCAGGACTCATAGCAGAAGGTGCTCCAGCTTCACCAATGAGGACTTCCAGAAGTGGGAGGAGCGGATTCAGCGCTGCATTGAGGCCTCTGGAAAATATTTTGAGGGTGACTAAAAGTTCCACTGTAATATCTTGAAAAATATAGATTTTATGAAGCCAGTCCGGGAACTTTTGGATCACACCTCGTACAGTCCCCTTCACCAGTGCATTTAAAGTGGCTTGTCAAATAAATATTCCACAAATCATTGCATTGAGATGTTTGTTTTAATATTGTTTTACTTTGATTCCATTTTATGATTACTATTGCCAGTGTCCTTCTGTCAAATGTAAACAAACACGGGGCTTTGTCACACTGCTATAATGAGTCAAAACTCGTATAGAAGATATACATATAGGTAGAATATTTATAGTTGTAGGACGTAAAGAGAAGAAGGTTGGTGGTGTGGCCGGTTAGTTACTTACACTTGAATATACGTTCTTAGGGGACATCTCCTCAAACACCGCCTCTAACGGTACACCTATTTATTATTCACTCAATGACACAGACACATTAATAGAACATTATATCGAAGTTACTAGAACATTACAGTATATCGAAGTTACTAGACACTGACTCTCGGACACAAACATAAAATGAATACACTTCCCACCGTAAGTAACTCACCCTATGGAGAGCTCTGACAATGACTCACGTGACCTGAGGGAGGCCTAGTAGGTGCTGCTGAACTATGTCTTCTATGGGAGACCCTGCTAGGTGGAGACCCGGTGCTGGGGAGGGAAGTCTCCCTCCCCACCTCGACTAGTGATGAGCATGACTCCGTCTTCCGTCAATAGTGTTGTGAAAGTCGTCTGAATATGAATGCTTGTGGTGGAAGGGGGTGCTGGGCCTATATATTGGCAGTCACCAGCCGGCAGATGACCTCTCCCAATTACCACTAAGCTGGGTGTGTCTTGACCAGGTGTGAGCTGATCGAGTGGCGGTGAGAATTCTGATTCCCTTGTGAACTTGACCTCCCTTGGGACAGGTCTGGACAGCCATTTGCCCAGGTGTGGTTGTAGGTCATATCACACGGATAACTCAAGCACTCTGTGGTCCCGCCCTCCCGTAGGGTGTGTTAACTTGGTATGAGGGTTACCACGTGGGCATCTACTTACTGTTATATGTGCTGTATTTCTCTGGGCTGTAAGCTGTGGTCTGATAAACAATCATTACACTGCACAAAACTGGACAAGCCCCTGTAGAGAAATCTTTCAATTTAAGGCTCTTCCTTTTGGTCTGCAGTAATTGTTGATGGAAAGGGATTTTCCCTGATGTTAATTAAGTGATTGGTTCAAATTGGGTGACTAGTAAGTCTGTCAGTCATGTTCTAATAGAATCAAGTCATGAAAAGAGCTGGATTTTTTATTAATAAGAAATCAGGGCTTCTGTCTTCCCAGGGTTTTACCTGGTTAGGTCTTCCATGGAACACTAGGGAAGAGTTAGTTGACCTTCCACCTGGGAATATTAGTTGACATCCTAAGCTTGTCTCAGAGGTGAGTGTCTCACAGTAAATGTGAGTGATAGTAAACAAATGAAGTCTTATTGTCTAGGTTGTACACCATTTGGACGAGGAAACTGCTCTGTAACACTGTGTGGAGTTGTGAAATTTGTAAGGCCATTCTCATCCTATAATATCACTTTTAAGAAAGGGGTGGAACATCACAGTGACTGTTAGAACATTTAGTACTACAGTACCTCCTCCCAGCATATACAGTAGCTGACTTTAATTATATGAACTACTTAATGAAGGGTGACTGTCTATAACTAAAGAATTGAAGTAATCCTATATTACAGCCAGTCCTGGAACTAGACAGCACAGAGCCCTCCCACCTTACTTGGGCTAATGTGAAAGTCTGCTGGGAATGAAGAGATTGACGTCTGAACCATTTAGAGCCCTCCTGAGAAGGGCAAAGTGGCATCATGCTTGTTAGGCATCTTCCCTCTAGTTTATCACAGGAAAACCTTTGTTGCTACAGTATATTTCAGGGCAAGAGTTACAGTAGGGAGGACAGACTAATCATGAGAACAATCCCAGCTATTAATGTCGGGTGTCCTGCTTCTCTAATGAGTGTTGTACATTAACCTCCTCGTGAAGGGCTCAGCCATAATACATATTCAGGATCATCCCTTCATATTTTTTCTTACATGTTCATGATGCTGTTATGATAACTTAACTACTGTATTTACAGTAGTTTGTGGTATTCATGCCATAAAAAAATAATGAATACAGTACTTATAAAAATTGAGTAAATACTGTATCATAATAGTAATACAGTAGTAGTCATTTTATTTGAGTAGTACATTATTTTATATATTGATCTAAAGAAACATCATATATGGTATGAATATAATTGGCATATTTTCTACACTAACATTTATAAATGCTATACGAGTTGTGAGGAGGAAGATCATCAAAAGGAAAGGAACCGAGAATAAGGCTAACTAATTGTTAATATATCTCATTCATTGTCAGTATTGATGTATTTGTGAAGGATTGAAGATCATGAAGTAAAGAGATTTTAGTGAGTTGGACACTTTGCTGTAGCGTTGCTGAGTTATGTGAAGTAATGGGTAAATCAAACATGGGCCATTGTGTGGAATGGGAATATTATTGCTGAACATATCTATTACAGCAATAGAAATGCTTGAATGACAGAGAATGAAGGGAGAGTCTGTATGAATGTGAGTTTACTTTTAAGTCCAGCCACCCTGTTTAATAGCAGGAAAATGCTTAAAAGAATAAAACAATTATCTTAAGAAGAATTTTATGCTTATGGTCGCTAAATAATTTTATATATCTGTATTTTTATCTGCATTACAGATTAGCAGTGTACTGCCTGAAAGATGCTCTTCTTCCCTTGAGATTGTTGGATAAACTTATGTGCATCATCAACTATATGGAGATGTCTCGAGTCACAGGTGTTCCTTTGTCATACCTTCTTACTCGTGGTCAACAAATCAAGGTTATTTCACAGCTGCTGAGAAAGGTATGTGACTTACTCATTTTATGTATAAGTTTTGGTGTAACCCAATGGATTAGCCCAACTGTCGAGATAATGATTACGGTGAGTTTGGCGTGTGCCTTGTTTGATGCCTCTTAACATTGCTGGCTATTTTGTTGGAGCGTCTGCCCCAACACAACAAAAACAAAGCATCTAGTCGAGGTTCCCAATGGATCCTGTTACAACAGTTGAGGACTTACAGGATTGTGCTTTGTTCGGGTGCTGGGGAAGTCATCATGAAGTTTGCTTACAACTGGCAGCAGCTGGCTAGTCAAAGACCTTGAATAGTGATTTAATAATACTACTAAGGAAGTTTTAAAGTGACGAATAAATAGAACATGTCACCGTTTTGTGTTCAAATATTTTAATTATTATTGTTTCATGATTTATTTTCAATTTTTACTTAAATATGAAGTTCATTTGAGTACTAATCCGGCTAGCATAGCTCCCCGCCAAACTGTTTTTCATTTTCTCAACAGTTGAAATACTGCTGCTTGCTGGGCCGTCAGGCCAGCGATGAGCAAAAATGGCCAACATGTTGGGAGGAAAGTGCCCAGTGATCTGGCACCTTAACTATACTATTTATGGCTTTCTAGTTTAAGAATTTGCATAACCCAAATTTTTCCCATTTTTTTAAGAAATCTATGAGTATTTGTAGGTTCCATGATGCAGAGTTAGAAAGATAACAATATGCAGAGAAAAGAAGAGAGAAAATGGTGGTGACGTGGCAGACAACTGTACAGTGTTCTTTCATCATGTTAATTTCTATTTTTAAAGTGTAAGACGTGCTCAATGACTATCATTTGTGTTATTTATTGACAATTATTATACAGTACTTTTGTGCCTAAATGTCTCACGAAATTAGGACCCTGGTGGTTTCAAACTTTTCCATACACCATCTTATAATGAAGTAGAGCAGCTTGTGACTTTACCCATCTTGTTTACCAAGAAAATTATATCTAAAAGACATAAATTACTCAAAAGATTCTATTTGTCTACTACACTTAGTGAAAGTATTGTGGTTTACAGGCTGTTGAACAAGATTTGGTTCTGCCCGTTCACAAAAGTGGTGGAGATGATGAATATGAAGGAGCCACTGTGATAGAACCTCGCAAAGGTTATTATGATGTGCCAATTGCAACTTTAGATTTCTCCTCGCTGTACCCTTCTATTATGATGGCTCACAACCTGTGCTACACTACAAAGCTGTCAGGACCTCAGAAGGCTCAAGAATATGGGTATGATTTATACATTATCTTTTATTAATAATAAACTCATCACTTTCTACTCATTTTTAAGTAAAGCATTCTCTGCTTCTAATTTACTTTGATTATTCATGAAGCTTAAGAGATTCAAGGAACTTAGAGATAGTATCATACTTTTTAACTTTAGTGAAGCATTAACTTAGAATGAAGCAGAATACAGTGGAGCCACGATCATTTGTGGTTTAGGTACCAGAAGACATCATGAATTATCAGATTCTGAATTATAGTATAATTAATTAAAATTAAAATGATTAGTTAGGTTCCATAGGCCAAAAAATACACATATAATGTAACAAAACTGCTTTAATAAACATTAAATATCATACGTAATACAGCTTCTTCCCCTTCTCATAATCATCATCTGGGTGACACAAGGAGACTGGCTGGGTAGCTGTTCACCTATGATGTAAACAAACCACCAAGAATTTAATTGAACTCAATAACTCATCTGGGGTTGAGTATAAATTTTTAGGGGGTAAAATTTATTATTTTAATAGAATTTTTTTTATTAACTTTGCACAAAATGAACCTAAATAATATGGGAATTATGGTGAAATTATATATTGTTATTATAAAGGGGCCATGAATTGGGGAATTTCTTTTGAGACCAGCAGCCATCCACCTGCCCTCCCTCCCTCCCTCACACAATTCATTCCCACTCTTCATTATTTCTTATTACCCTCGACATCGGCTCCTGCTTCCACCTGAGATCCCTTGTCTGCAAATTGCTGTTTGACACCACAACTGTATCCATCCCATACGAGCACATGCTGATCACTATAAGAACAGCCCAGTCCCAACCATTGTAAAAAATATCAACAACTCATAGTCAACCTAATACAAAACTAGTTACCCTAGCTGTGTTGAGTTAGTTGAGCCGCAGATCTATGCGGCATTCAGTGACTGTTGCCTCATAGTCAATATCTGTGACTGCTGTCGGCTTTGGGGCCGATGCTCTCGTTCCCCTGAGGCAGAGCAATGCAGTCCTAAGCAGAGAAAAGGACAGTCGACATCTCAACCAGGTTGTAATGTAACTTCTGGGCTGCTGCTTCCGTTCAGATAACACCTCCGCGAGTCTGGCGTAGAAACATCTTGCGCTTGGTCCCATCCCACCAGAGGAGTGAAGCTGCCCTCATCAACATTCAGAATTCTCTCCCTGTATGCCCTAATCTTGTCATTCTCGTTCCTCCTGTGTTTATGGTGACATGCGGCCATGGGATAAAAAATCCTGATGTCGAAGAAGTCTCGCTGTCCCCACGTCCAGAATCCTCGAGCACTGACGGCCACACGGACTTCGTTGGATGTGTTTGAAGTCCCCTGTTGGAAATTCTCACTGTCCAGTGGAAGGAGGGTCGGTTCTACCCTGACATCATGACAGATTTCCTTCTACATATTTACTGTGAGATCCCTTACTTCGTCGTGCCTCATGCATACGAAGCCCCCTTTCTTGCACACCATGGCGTGGTTGATGTCACCTTAGAGCAATGGCATCTGTAAATTCTTGTTTATTAAGACTGAAACCTTTTGCCCTTATCGGTAATGTTGTTAGCCAGTTCGAGGCACCCACCTGCGCTATAGCTACTTTTTTTCTTCAAATTCTCAGGCACTTGCAGCATCAGTTGCTGCAATTTATCACTTTGGGTGTGCTGCCGTTCTGTCGTAATGGACCGTCAAATCTTGTTTACTTTGCTGGTATCCACCTCACTTGTTGCATTCTGAGCTATTATGTGGTCGGTGAGGGCTGCCGTGAGCTTGACTGAGTTTTGATGTTTGGTGGCAGCAATCTCCTCTGGATTAGTCAATTCCGTTCCTCCTAGTCTCGGTGGTAGTGCAAGGATTGACCTTTCTGCTGGGGTTAAGTGAAGGTGTTTCACTAATTTTGGAATGAAATTGACGCTGATAGCTTCTTCCAGAGGGTAGAGGAGGGGTTCGATATCAGGGATACTGCGCCTCAGGTAATTCCAACGATGCTGCTACTACTACTACTACTACAGGTTGTACCTCTCTAGTCCGGCAACCTCGGGACCTGACCGGTGCCGGACCATGGAAATTGCCAGACCATGGAAATTCACCCTTTTCCTGGATAGATAGTGACTTGTGCTTATGCCTGGAAGCACTAGCACCACTTTCTCTGCAGCATGGTCTCTTTGAAGACATATTGAAGGGTTAAATGTAGCTTCTCAAATTTTGCAAGTTTTTAATTCTTAACGTATTTTATTGGAACACACAAAAAATAAATAAATATAAATTTTGACGGCGGAAACTTGAATTTCGACTGGTTTGAACGGCCCGCCAACGTGCAGACGACGTGCATAATCGTGTAAACAGCGTCATTTCTCTTATGTACAAAAGATTCATTATTGTTTATTACTGAATGTCTTTTTTATTGAATTAATGTTTATGTGTGCAAAATGAGCAATACAATTCATTAATAATACGTAGAATATTAAAACACACGAGGAAATGACACAGCATTGTATTCGTTGATTACAAAACCAGTGACTGACTGGTTCTACATATATAACTGAAGAAAATAAGACCTTGGTTGTAGCTGTAGTAAAATTAATATGGTTGTTTTAAGTAATGTTATTTAATGTTAATAAATGGAACAATAGAAGTAGCTAACGATAATGGTAAAGAAAAAAGAGAGATCGCATATGTAAGTGCGCATGCGCACACGTGAAAACATATCGTCATTACTTTACATAAGAATATGAAAGCAACACTTATTTACTGTTCATATATATTTTAATTAATGTTTCTGAATTTGTTTTTATTGAATTAATGTTTGTGTGTGCAAAATTAACAATACAATTTATTAATAATACGTGGAATATTAGAGGAGACGAGACGGCTGCCGGCATTGTTTATGTTAAAGCTTACAAAACCAGTGACTGATTGGTTCTACATATAAAACTGAAGAAAATAAGACCCTGATTTTAGCTGTAGTAAAATTAATGTAAAAAATGAATATGGTTGCTTGAAGTACCTGTAATGTTATTTAATGTTAATAAATGGAACAATATAAGTAGCTAACCATTAATGGTAAAAAAAAAAGTGAGACTGCTCGTATGTAAGTGCGCACATGTGAAAATATATCGTCATTACTCTACATAAGAATATGAAAGCAACACTTATTTACTGCTCATATATATTGAAGGGTTAAATGTTGTACTCTGTATAGACAAGCAGAGAGAGAGAGAGAGAGCAGCCGAACTGCCGGATGTAAACAAACCTTAATTTCCCGCGGCTTTTTTTTTTAAGGGGATTAGCCCACCCGGGCATAGGTCACTGACCCACATTGGGGCCTGAGGGGCAAAAATTTAATACTCCTGTAATAATAATAATAATTCAGATAAGTAAAAAAATCTGCCTATCTACCTATTGGACAAACTAAAATCGTTCCGGACCACGGGAGTTTCCGGACCACAGAATGCCGGACTAGAGAAGTACAACCTGTACTACTTTGCTGTCACTCGGAATCGATTATGACGATCATCCAGCTATGATACAATGGTATGAGTTATTAAGGATGTCACCTACATTGGTAAGCTCTGAGGTGACTAAAGAGGCCGATACAGGACTGGCAGGGTCGTTCACAGATGTTGCACATGTCGGGGGCTACAGTAGAACGTCGATACGCTCCAAGAGAGGTGGCTTTAAGCAGAATTCGCTCTGAACCGAAGTGTTGTTTCAATGGAATAATTTAGTTTGGTACTTGAGAGAAACAAAATACTAAAAAGACTGAGAATCTACCCAGATGCACCTCAGCCCATCTCCTAGAATGAACAAAACATTGTTTTTTTTTTTTTAGTATTATGTTAAAACAAACGCTCATAAATCAACACGGCTACAATTATGGGACGTGAAATGGTCTGTTTACTAGCGATCAGCTGATGGGAAGATGGGAGGGGGGTGATATGTTTGACAGTTGATGCCAAGGTCTAGTGCTTATTTATTTATCTGTCCTTAAGAGTGACTTTTAAGTTTCTCTCTTATAAAATGTCATTGAACTGACAAATGTTCTAATTAATTTTATTACAAATGGCTAAAATTTATGTCCTTTAGATTGAGTTTTTTTTTCCATAAAATGTCACAAAAGTGCCCAGGGAGAATATAATTTACATTGCTGGAATTCTTTTAAGATAATGATTAATTTGAATATAATCATGCTATAGTTTGCACTAGACAAAAATTTTAGTAATCATTTAGTACATTATTTTGAGTACATATACAGTACAGCTTTGCCCTTAGGACAGTGTTGCGTGCCCAGAGAAACATTAGGTGCGAATTTTAAAATATGATGCACCAGATTGACCCACGCAAAATAGGAAAGATTCGCTTTAAATTAAAACATTGTTCTTAATTGTGGGTGTCGCTTAAAATCTAGAATCTTAAATTGAATCGCTTTAAATCAACGTTCTACTGTACATCTACAGGTAGTGCAGGAGAGGGCAGTGGATGACAGTAGACTGCCAAAGCAGCTAGTTTACTTAAGACAAACCTGAAAAGGTGCCTTTCACCTGGGAGATGATTACTCCACACTGTAACACTTGGAGGATCACCACACAAGGTGTCAATACTTTTAATTTAGCCCGACTGCATACCAAGGCAGACATGCGCCATCGCCGGAAAGACGCTGCAGTCTCTCTCTCTCTCTCTCTCTCTTTTTTTTTTTTTTTTTTATGCAGCGTATGAAGTTAATCTGTAGATGCCTACCTTGCTAATCAAAATTTCCATAAACATTAAAACTCTTAACCCTTTGGCTGTGGGAGGTTGCCCTAAGCTGAATAAAATCGTCTGGCAGTAGCCAGAATAAAATGGCTAGTGCGGGAAATGTAGCAAAAGCGTTAAAATACAGTTTTTAATTTTTATAGTATTAATGTTTGTACTGGTGAAAATAAGAATTGGGCCCCGAGATGTTTCAAGCTGTTCTATCCTCTAAACAAAATTGAAGGTCCTGGGTTACTGAGAACAAGGAGGGTTAACAATATTGTGCCATTGTATTCATGTCTAATTATTGTTGTTTCTTTATCCATCAGTTTCCCTGGAAATTGTTTAAAGTTTATTTCAATAAGGTTCAAGTCATGACTAAAACTGCCAGCACTGAAAAATTAAGATTAGTCTTGCAGAACACTTTAGGAATTTGAACTGTGTGAAGTAAAAAATGAATCATATTAGCCTGTAATTGGAATTACAGGAGTAGAAGTTTCACATAGAAGAAAACTGATTTGTCATACACAGCTAACTACTGTACTCAGGAGCGATCATCACACGCAGGTCTATAGACCAGTTTTACAGTGTGTCACCAGTAACATGGGTTGATAATGAAACTATCATTAGAAAACATAAAAAGAAATTAGAAGAACAAAAAAAGCACGCACTTCCTAAAACATGTATTCTGCATACTTAACAATTACTGTTAACAGCAAACAATGCAATTCAAACAAAATTTCACTGGCGACTAATATGAAAAGGATACCTCAGGAACACAGAAACACAGGTGCTGTATTGAATGGGTAAATACTCTAGTTAAAAATGTTTTAGAACACGGGCTTCATATCATTCATTCAATTTTATTGCTGTAACATATTCTGGTATAATATTTCTTTTCCATAACAAGATATATAATTGATGTTTCCTGTTTCAGGCTTTCTCCAGAGGAATTTATCAAGACTCCTTCTGGAAATTATTTTGTTAAAGCATCAAAACGCAGGGGCCTTCTGCCTGAAATTCTTGAATCACTTTTAGCAGCAAGAAAAAGGGCAAAAAATGACCTTAAGAATGAGACCGATCCATTGAGAATGAAGGTGAGGGATCAAATGTTTATTGCTTGAGTTAATTATTGTTCTTCATGTCATTTTTAGTATTTTTAGAAATCTTATGGTATGTTCTTTTGTAAACCAATATGTCACGTAATGTTATTGCTGGCTATTGTCCTTAGCCCGTTGTGTATGTGGGTCTCTGTGCTGAATAAAATCATTTGACATAAATCAAGTAAGATAATAAAAAGTGGTGACCCATTAGTGAAGGGGTCAAATCAGTCAGCTTTCATAATGTAGGGCAACTTACTCAGGGTCAGAGTCATTAAACAGAACCGCCAATTGCTGTTAAGAGTTAATCTGTTAGTCCATATGAATAGTGATTACCATTCCTTTCCCCTTTACTGCTAACCTCAAATGAATGGGACAGATAGAGTGGTTGCCACTCCTTTAGGAGATGGCAAAGATCTTTTAGAGCTGTGACTGCCTAACGAGCGCTCACCACACCATCGGTGAATTTGGGTCGAGTTGAACTGTTACACTTCTATCCTACCTGATATTCTTAAGTGGGGGGTTCACAATGATTGCCTGTTATGCTTCTCACCAAGGCTTCTTGTTTTCTACAAAAGCCAATTATCACTCCTGTTTGTGGATGTTTCAGGAATCTTTCAGCTGGCGACCACTGATTACCATAAGTGAGATTATTGTTTACAGTTACTGTCAGCCTTACTGAGTATGAGTAAGTTTGCCAGTAGTGGCTGGTCTTAACACTGGATTTTGATGATAATTTCTCACAAATACCACATCTCCGTACACATTTTCGAATTGCACTGGCTTCCAATTAAAGCCAGGATAGAGTTCAAACTCTGCCTAATGACTTTTAAGGCACTTACATTTGGTGATCTTAAGTATTTGTCCAACTTACTAAATCCTCTGACCACAAGTTCTGAAATGATCAGCGAATAAACTAGGGCATATTGAGATGCATTACCGGTATACACTACAATAATATTTATTAAGTTCTGATAAATATGCTATAATATTATTTAGTAGTTCTCAGGACAGATCCTGTGGTAAGCACCAGCTCTCTTGAGCAGTGACAACAATGGTGTGTGAGAGCTGGCAACATTATTATGGAGAGCGAGTCAGCTGGACCAATCAGCCGTTATCGCAATGTAAACAAGAGACTGAGAATATACTCCTGCACAATAGCTCATCTGGGATTAAGTGTGGGATTTATTGGGGGAAAATTATTTATTTTTCAATAATGTTTTGTTAAACCGGCACCTAATGAACCTAAATAACATTGGAATGGTGAATTGCATTCTGTTGTTATAAAGGGATTGCAGTAGAACGTCAATATACAGTCAGTCCTCAACTTTCGACAGGGTTAGGGACCGACGACCAGGTTGTAAGTCGAATTGGTCGTAAGTCGAAAATGCGAAAATCTAAATTGGGTGTCCATTTTTCTTCTCCGCACCACGAGAACTCTCACTTTTATGCTTGCCAGCCATTTTAAATAGAATTACAAAAAAAAATTTTGTCAGTACACAGCGCGATCAACGTCAGGACTCAAAAATACGTAATTTGAAAAATATTTTATACGACTGCAGCTGTCGTATGTCCGGGTGGTCGTAAGTCAAGTAGGTCGTAAGTCAAGGAGTACCTGTAACGCGAGATATGTTCTAAGAGAGGTCGCTTTAAACCGAATTCGCACTAAATCGAAGTGTTGGCTCAATGGAATAATTTAGTTTGGTACTTGAGAGAAACACAAAATACTCCTAGAATAAACAAAACATTGTTTTTTGTAGTATTATGTTAAAACAAACGCTCATAAGTCAACACAGCTGAAATTATGGGACGTGAAATGGTCTGTTTAATAGCAATCAGCTGATGTGAAGATGGGGAGGTGATATGTTTGACAGTTGATGCCAAGGTCTGGTGCTTATTTATTTATCTGTCCTTAAGAGTGACTATAAGTTTTTCTCTTATAAAATGTCACTGAACTGACATGTTGGAATTAATTTTATTACAAAGGGCTAAAATTTTTATCTCTTGTGCAAAATATATGACGTTTATATTCAAATTATTCGCTGTCTTGCAAGGATTCTAGCAACGCAAATTATATTTTCCTAACTTTAGTCTGATATTATATAAGATAACAACTGTAAGCCTATAACCACCCAACCCTGGCTGGGAAGATGAGGGGGAGGAGGTTGGCGGGGGGCACTGAAGGTTTGGTGAAGTATTTATTTGTTCATTTATGTCTTTTAGATTCAGTGTTTTTGTTTTTTGTAAAATGTCATAGAAGTGACCGGGGAGAATATAATTTACATTGCTGGAATTCTTATAAGCTAATGATTAATTTGAATATAATCATGCTATAGTTTGCACTAGACAAATATTTTAGTAATCATTTAGTACATTATTTTGAGTACATATACAGTACAGCTTTGCCCTTAGGACAGTGTAGCGTGCCCAGAGAAACATTAGGCGCAAATTTTAAAATATGATGCACCAGATTGACTCACGCAAAATAGGAAAGATTCGCTTTAAATTAAAACATTGTCCTTAATTGTGGGTGTCGCTTTAAATCTATAATCTTAAATTGAATCGCTTTAAATCTACGTTCTACTCTGTGGGTGTGTGTGTAAATTTTTATATTTTTTTAATGATAATAAATGAATTTCTATACTTAATGTTGTTAGATGTTCAAGCACTTGGTGGTCTTCCTCCCTCCTCCTCCGTGCCCCACAGTGCCGTACTTAGCCTGAACAAGGCGACTAAATCTAGTTTTAATGGGAGTACGGGTAGTGCCACTTGTGAAGGAGATGAGCGGTCACGAGTCAAGTCACACTGCAGTGGCTGAGATACCACGTGTACACCACTTCTTCTTTTTTTTCCCCTTCTATCCCCAACGACATGCTGGGCAGTTCCTTTCACACTAGGACTGCTTGTTGAAGGGCCAGACAAACTATCACTTACTCCAGAAGGGCCAGGGACATTGGGAGAGGCCTCAGGAGGCACCACACTATCTCCCTGTACTTATTACGTTTTCCCACCCGTCCACCTTCACCAGCAACACGAGGCATAGATCAAAACTATCATAACACTGTCATCAATAAATGAAATCACTGTGATGAACGAGAAATCAGCACTAGTCATGAGTAACTGGTGGGGTATGTGGGTTAAAGTTACCTCCTGTACTGTTGAACCACAAAGGGTGACTGGTGTGGTCACTCACGTAACCTTGGAGGCAGTCTATATAGGTGCCAGATCACACTGACTTTGCCGAATGTGTGTCTTTTATATCTACCATTCATACCCAAACATAAAATTATTTTATTGTAATTTTTTTATTCATATGCAAATTTGCGTATGAAAACCCCAACAGTGTTAAGCTGGCTTTGGATTATTAGATGATGAAACAGCCACTTGAGCCTGGTACATGTTGATTAGGCAGTGACACCTCTAGGACTTCTTAGCCTGCCCTGGGAGCTAAATGCTGTACCTGTTCATTTAATCAAACCTAGATATAAAAGGGAAGGACCATCTAGTAAGTTATTCTATATCACAAGACAGACTGGGTTCAGATCCCCCCCCTGCCTCCCCCCTCCCCCTGCCCTCCCCCAAAAAGGGATTTCTGGATCAGGTCTTCAATTCTTAACTCACAGTCAAGTATAGAAGTCTTTAAGTTTCTTGATTTAATAACTCATTTAACCTGGGCTTAAAGAGAAAGCATTAAAAATTTGCCTTCCTGTGTGTGTGTGGCTCACTCACTGCTGCCTAGCTGGATGGCAAATGTTACCTCTGCACTAAGTCTTAGGAATTTAAATATACAGGCATTCCTCATAAATCAAAGCACATTTTCCCTTAGACTTTCATTATAAAAGCTGAGATATGTTCTTATGAAAACCAAAATCCTTAAAATATCTCAAAATGCTGTAAAACATTTTTTTAATAATAAAAAAAAAAGTTGGTACACACAATGATTTCAAGTCAGGAGTAAACAGATAAGTGAAGTAGAGTGTACAGTAATAATTTTATATCTGTATTTACAAGAAATTGGATGAAATTTGAAACTAAATGAATGGCTTTAAACATGAAGCCAACATGTATAATAATTACCCTAATAATATAGTACTACGGCTCCCATTCTATTGTTAGAGATATTGTCTCTATAATTAAAAAAAAAGCTCACTCTACCCATGATGAGTTACTGTGTCATCCTAAATTCCCGCTGCTTTGTTTGCACAATACAAACAGTGTGGCTACAGACATGTGAGCTATGATGACGATGATTCAAGCATCAGACCAGGTTGTGCTTTGTGCTCATGTTGATTTTACTTTGCTTTCACAATGGAATCAGATAGCCTCTCGACCATCAGTTGACGCTACACTCATGCATTGCTCAGATTGCCGGCATTCTCCACACCTCCAACCTTTTCTTCACCTCCAAATTCTACTCATTCTCTTACAGCTCTACACTTTTATTGAGCCTAATTAGCGTATGAAATTTAAGAAAAAAAAATTCCTTAATTTTATTTTTCATATATTACATGAGAGTTAATTAGCAGAAATTGAACAATCAGGCAACTGTCTGAGTGACTCTGTGTGGTGGTGTGAGTGACGAGTCTACTTCCTACTTATCTCCACATGAGTGAGGAGTAAGTTACCTGTATATGGTTATTGTAGGAGAATAATGACACATTGAAACCTTATTTGTAGACTTTATAATATTATGAGTGCTAGAAAATAATTAAAAAAGTTAATGAATAAGTAAGCTTATTGAGTTAGAGAAAAATCTAATTTTTTTTCTAGTCGGAATGCGACGCTCGGCAATGTTACCTAGGTATGTTAATTCCTAGCTAACTCGCCAGGTCAACATACAGGCAATTAAAACATCCAATTATAAATAGTTAGAGAAAAATCTAATAATTTAGCATATTTTTGTAATTACTTAATAAAAAAATAAAACTACAGTATTACCCCGCCTAACGCGGTTTCACTTAACGCGTTTTATCATATACGCGGTGCCTCGCCAGAGCTGAACTTTCACTTAACACGGATTTTTTCCACATATACGCGGTGAGTGTCCGGCTCGAGACGCTATTTTTAGATTTGCCCCACCCGCCACCCTGCCTGACTGCCTGTTTTAGCTCATAAAATTCATACAAATTACCCGGCCAGAATATAATTTACATTGCTGGAATTCTTATAATTTGGTGATCATTTTGAATATAAACATCATATATTTTGCATTAGACATACAAATTTTAGATAAAATTTTTTCTCTGGGTAACTATGTTATCTTTTGTGCAAAATATATGACATTTATATTCAAAATATTCCTGGTCTTACAAGGAATCCAGCAATGTCAATTATATTATCCTAACTTTAGTTTGAGGTATTATTTATTACAAAAAAGTTAAGTATTCTGGTTTTCCCACACATCTCCTTGGGACGGTTGGTGGGGGGTGGGGGGGAGGGAGGGACCGACCGACCATCTGTTACCCCGTGAAGAATATTTTTTTTTTTTATTAACTGAAGATATTTGTTTTAGCTCATAAAATTCATACAAATTACCCGGTCAGAATATAATTTACATTGCTGGAATTCTTATAATTTGATGATCATTTTGAATATAAACATCATATATTTTGCATTAGACATAAAATTTTTAGATAAAATGTTTAATCTGAGTAAGTATGTTATCTTTTGTGCAAAATATATGACGTTTATATTCAAAATATTCCTGGTCTTACAAGGAATCCAGCAATGTCAATTATATTATCCTAACTTTAATCTGAGGTATTATTTAATACAAAATGTTAAAATTATTTTTTTCACCCACTCTTCTCTTGAAGGGATGATTGGTGGGGGGTGGGGGGGAGGGTTGGGACTGACCGCGGTTGGGAGAGAGGGGGGAGGCAAGGTGGGGTACTTTGATTGACAGATAGTGTCGTGAAGATTATTTTTTTTTATTAACTGAAGATATTTGTTTTAGCTCATAAAATTCATACAAATTACCCGGCCAGAATATAATTTACATTGCTGGAATTCTTATAATTTGGTGATCATTTTGAATATAAACATCATATATTTTGCATTAGACATACAAATTTTAGATAAAAAAATTTTCTGAGTAACTATGTTATCTTTTGTGCAAAATATATGACATTTATATTCAAAATATTCCTGGTCTTACAAGGAATCCAGCAATGTCAATTGTATTATCCTAACTTTAGTTTGAGGTATTATTTATTAAAATTTAGTGGTTTTCCCCCAAAAATTTCTCAGAGAGGGAAGAGCCGGCAGTGTAGTGTGAGAGGGGGAGGGAGTTGAGTCCATTATTTGAATGGACATTAACTTGGCGACTGTATTTCTCTATTTCTCTTAAGTATTAATTGTGTGCATGTACCATCATAAAATTAAGATGTTATTTTTACTACAACATAGTTATGTGTCTTCAAAAAGTGGAGTTTGGGGGTCGGGCCGGTTTCTATTGGAATTAATCCCATATGTTCTGTTGTTCACTTAACGCGGATTTCACTTAACACGGGACCCTCTGGGTTCTATTGACCGCGTTAAGTGGGGTACAACTGTACAAAAATTATGAAAATATTTTTGTATCTGTTTTTCTTTCATAAATAAATACATGGGTCTTTTTCTGTACTTAAAATTTTCTTAAACTGCAGCTTTGTAAAATGGGGATTGCCTGTATAAACAAGATACTGTATGTTGCCTGTCACAAGAAAATTTTGAAAATTCTGTTAAAAATTTTAATTAATTACTATTAAAAATCTTAACTGCATATGCAGCCTTGATGTGTATAATTTTCATATAAAATATGTGAAATAATGTTATTTATTCACAGTGTCAACTTAGTCATAGTTTATAAAGACAGGCAAACAATGTTCTTCAATTACACATAAACCATTAAGTAACTGGAGGAGATATTATTTAGGTTCTACTCTCTATTATTGTGCTCATGTATAAGTAAATGTTGACTTTTCAGGTGTTGGATGGTCGTCAGTTGGCTCTGAAAATGTCAGCCAACTCAGTGTATGGCTTTACCGGTGCTCAAGTTGGCAAGTTACCATGCTTGGAAATTTCTCAGGTTGGTTTGAATGATTGAAAAATTTTGTGTCATAAAGGGACCAAATGGTAAAGAGCAGTTAAAATCCTTCCTCTTCATTGTGTACAGTATTAATAAATAATTCAAGTAAGATGTCATCCTCAGGTCTGAAGGCTTACAGCAACAGCCCACCACACCAAACATTTTTGGACTGTCTTATCAATCCTAGCAGATACTGTACCTCTCTGGGGACCATAACTTAGTTTCATTCATTCATCTTGGTCTATGCCTTTCCCAGGCCCCCCATACCTTCATCTCAAATTGTGTGTTCATAGAATCATTTTTCCTTAATCAGTAAATTTCCAGTATTTCTCTCATTGCTTCAACCTGTCTTGGTAACAGTTCAATTGTTTATCAATTGGTACTGTACAGTATAACTTATCTAGGATGTTCTCTTGCTGTAGTACACTTCAAAAGTCTCCAGCTCTTTTTTAATGTCTGGTGGAAGAGTCCACGTTTTTTTTTTTTATCTGTACAGTGGTACAGTACTGAGCAAATGTAGTATATCAGTACAGTATTCTTTTGCTTCAGCTAAATTTGATAACTCATTCAAACAAATTCCATCTAATGTTGCTTCCCAGGTACACAAAAGAATTATCCAGTTAAACTTTTCTGTGGCTTACTATAATTTTAGGATTAATTTTTCATTTGGAAACAACCAATACTTATTTCTCTATAGCATTAAATCTGTGCTTTTATTCTTCATAAATTTTCACTGAAATTTTGACCAGTTTTTGTTGTGCTTCTCTCATATCTGCAATTTGAGCAGGATCTTCTTACAAGATATAACATATTATGTTAGTTAACTTTTCCCCTGCATCACTACTTGCAAAAAAATAATAATGAACGTCTTATATGTAGTCATAAGAGAGAGCATGCAGTCTTGTGGAACTCTTCCTTAGGCATAATGGGGTGTAATGATTGTGACTACTTAAGGCCTGGAGCAGAAGGTTCATGTAATTAGGGTTTGATAAAATATATTGGTGGCCATGACTCAGCTTATGAGGATGCACATGTACAGTCACCAATAAAAGTTCGCTCCCCGTGGTAGAACTGAGTCACGGGAATGAGTCTCTGAATTGACTTACCCTGACTGGTGTTTCTCGTTTGGGGTCGATGCTCCTTCATTTTGGGATGAAGCGAACTTTTAACCTCAGATGTACCTGTGAGTAGCTAGGAATTTTGTTAAATTTAAACATGGAATTTTAGCTTTTCCAAATTTACTTTGTCCTATGTAGCCTGGCCTTGGGGATGTTTTGGCTTCAGTTTTCAGTGTGACCCATGGTATGTCAAGAGTGTTTGATGATAATCATTTGACTCTTTGTTGCCTCTCCTTCAAATAGTACATTAGGAATATGGTTAAATAGCAATTCTTCAGGTTTTCTTGAATAGTGATGGTTTTAGAGTGTCACATCATACTGTAAATTTCATGTACTATCCTCTCGGCACATTTTAAAAGTTTTAACACTCGTACACTGTGACTCGAGTTTTGTGTCAATTTTTAGTCTTGCTCACTTGGCACTGATGCCATTTGCACATCACCCAAAAGAAAAGTCATCAAATATCTAGTAATTATGATTGATGTATGAGATTTTGGCGAGTCACTTGTGGTAATCCAACACAAATTAGATATATGGTACCAGAATATGCTGCACAATTTCCCTTTAAATTTCTTGCTGTTGTCCCTCTCTCACACTCCTGCCCTTCATTGTACAGTAATATTTATCTGTAAAATTGTTTATAAAGTATATTTATAGTTTTTACAAAATGTTTTTTGGTTTATTTTCAATATTTCACTTATCCAAACTTGTAACCATTGTATGTGTTTCCACACGTACGGACCAAAGAGCAAGTATTTATTTATTTATTTTTTTATTTATTTATTTATTTATTTTTTTTTTTTTATTATTATTATTTTTTTTTTACATGTGTGCATGTCAGGAACACACCTCAACATCATATACACACACCACCAACACGCACTCTCCGACATTTATTACAAAATTCTCGTATGATCAGCCTCTTATGGTGTATGTTTTATCATTGATAATATCAAATATTAAATACAGTGACCCCTCGTTTAACGAACACCTCGGTTAACGTAATTTCGATTAACGAACTGCCTTCCATAAGGATCTTCAATTCGGTTAACGAAAAAAAATTCGCTTAACGAACTTCTTACGAACCGACCTCAACATGTTTTCGCTTGCACTGACCGGGCAACCAGCTTTAGTATCAGTCCGCCAATACATTAATCGGTTCTAGGGCTTAAATTCCTTACTATTTTTGTAAATATCAAGAAGTTTATACTATTCAATAATTTTAAAAGTTTAATATTCAATTTTTTAGTCATTTTAACAATTATTGAACAAAATTGAAGGTAAAGTGACTAGTTTAATGCGCGGCATCCAGCCTCTTAACACAGCAAACAGGCGTCAGTCTCTCTCTGTTTTCACTGGAGGTAACATCTTGCTTGAGACTCTCTTCAACTAAACGCTTTTTTTCTGTGTTTCCAAGCAAATTATTGGTCATTTTGAAATATATTTTATATATTGACAATATATAATGCAGTGCAGCGTTGATTTAAAGAAAATAATCTTGAATTAAACCAGAGAGCTAAAATTTTATGGGTGAAATGGCACCATGGGGTGACTTCTCTTCCACCCCAATGCCTTCTCTTCTTCCTTCTCCTCCACCCCCATTCTAAATCCCATCATCATCATCATCATCCAGGAGCCTTCTACATACACACCTCAAAGTAAGTGAACTTTTCTACCATTTTTGTTGAATTTAGGAAATTTTTGGTGAGCTGGAACCAATTACCCAAAAACCCATTGAAACAATGGTTTCGGTTAACGAACGGTTAACGAACGACCTTCTGGAACGGATTGAGTTCGTTAACCGAGGGCCACTGTACTTATTGGAAAGATACAATATACAATCATTAATTTGTATAAAGATTAAGCGACAAGCCAAATAATAAGGTAAAAATAAATATGTTTCTGTATATGAAGGGTACTGGTATTGATACGTTTAAATTATTACAGTAACATACAGCCAGTCCTCGACTTACGACGGGGTTAGGGACCGACGACCAGGTCATAAGTCGAATTGGTCGCAAGTCGAAAATGCGAAAATAATACTGTATTTAGAAAATTTAAAATGGGTGTCTCTTTTTCTTCTCAGCACCACGAGAACTCTCACTTTACGTTTGCCAGCCATTTTATAGGGAATTACAAACGAAAATTTTGTCAGTACACAGCGCGATCACTAACGTAGGGACTCGAAAATACGTAATTTGAAAAATATTTTATACGACTGCTGCGGTCTTATGTCCAGGTGGTCGTAAATCGAGTAGATCGTAAGTCAAGGAGTACCTGTACATATCTTCACTAATTGATAAATAACAAATAAACAATATTTTGTCGAGTTCCAGAAGAATGACAGAGGCAGGGGTGGGGGGTGAGTGGTCAGTTTCCTCCCCTAAGGCCATCCCTCCTCCACTGCCAGTCTCTCTATGTACAGAACTAAACAAAGAATTTATTTGATATACTCTGTAATATTCAATGCCATAATATCCAGACCACTGGGGTAAGTTATACTGACTTATCCCTGTGAAAATGCCATAATTTTGAGCAACATATTACTGTGCTCACATCTTTATAATTATCTTTGGTAACTTACGCTAACTCATATTGACCATAAGTGAATCAATGACAGGTAAAAAAACAAAACGAATAACTCACAGGGACATAATGGTGCCATGGTACTCACAAAGGTTTATATTGACTTCAAGTGAATCAGTGACTGATGCTCATAATGATACCAAGTGGCTCACATATGCCCATAATGATCCCAAGGTACTCACAGGTACTCGTGGGACTCTAGATGACTAACGGGTACTCAGGATGATCTCGGGAACTCATTATAACTCTAATGGGTATTTTCTTTGTTCAGGGAGCATCCACCGGTCTTCCCTACTAGCACTAACCATGGTAGGGATGATCATAGCATGTGAAGGTGTGGATCTAGTTAGGGCATTTTGTCTCCACCATTTTTACCAGAGTTACTGCCCCTTTATAGTTCAGAAAGAAAAATACTTGTTGCTTATTTATATCTACAGCATCATTTAAAAGTAATTGTGCAGTTTTGTTCAACAGATACTTTATAGACACTCATATGCTGGGTTTTTTTTATTAGTAATACCTGGAGTGCAGTTTTCTGGTAAATGAGTACAGGGTATCTGCCAAATTGGGCAGCCAGGAGTCTTGAAGTATTTATTCAACATTGAGTAATGCATGCAAGAAAACTGTACTGTTGTTTTTAATGAAAGTGCAGAAGATTATTAACAAGTAAAACTTAAATTTTGCAGAGTGTGACTGCCTTTGGACGGACGATGATTGCCTTCACCAAGGAGCAAGTTGAGGAAAAGTACACTGTTGAAAATGGTTATGAACACAAGGCAGAGGTAATACACCATATTGGTTTTTATAATCTTTGGTTTAAATACAGTGTTGTCTGGTTTACATAATTGTGGTTTATATATTTTTTAAGAGAAAGTGGGACACATAGGCTTATTGGCCCAATAAGGATAGTGCAGATATGATTCACTGAATACTAAGCCTGTAATTACAGTCATACTTCCCCAACCATGGTATAAAGTTTTAAGAATTCACGGGCTTCCACTGTGATAAATAAAGTGAAGCCGTGTGGTGACCAAGGAATATATAAACTGTAGTAGGGCATGAGAAGGCATCATGGAGTACATGGATTGGAGCACTATTGCTAGAGGTAGACAGCACGGCAGTGTCCCAGATAGGTTGCATTGCCCCAAAGGGGGGGGAATAGCCCGCTCGTGCACAGGTCATCGACCCACAGCGGGGCCTGGGGGGTAAAAAGAAATTAAAAATAGAAGAGAAAAAAATTATATTGATCTACACCACAAAGATGGAGGAAAACCAGCTTTTTGAAGTGAGGCATTGTATGAGTATGGAAACACAGAAGGCAGAGCATTCCACAGTTTGGCTGTGTGAGGAAAGAAGGATGTACTATAACGGGTTATTCTAGTGTAACCGTCATCCACAGAGAAATGGTGGGCAGTACTCCAAGTTAGGACAAATGAATCCCTTATAAACTTGAAGCAACTGCTCAGGAGTGAAGTAACTACAGCATCTGACAGCTTTCCCAGCTTTTGGGAGGCAGCTTTAGCAATGTTGTGGATGTGTGGCTTCCATGATATATTAGAGGAAATGGTGAGGCCTAGCATATCTATTTTAGAATTTGGCAGAATAATTGCACCCTGAAACGTGTTTGGTGGGAGATCATCTAATTTGGAAAGTGCAATTGGTAAATACTGAGCTTTATTACTATTCAATTTAACAAGGTTCCTACCCACCATTTTGTGATGCTGCACAGCCCTGCATATATAGATGAAATGGTATCGGCTCTAGAAACAGATCTGGTTTGAGAATTAGAGAGAAGGGAAAAATGTGAAGAAGAGTGAAGAGTAGATCATCAGTGTAAGAATGGATAGAATTAGTCGTAGTGTGAAGTAAATCATTGATAAAAAGATGGAAGAGAGTAGGTGAAAGAACAGAACCCTGTGGGGCACCACTACTGGTAGAGAAAGAGCGAGAGATCGATCTCTTGATAACAACTCCCCTACTACTACTACTACTAAGGTGAGTAAGGCCAGGCAGTCAATGTCAGTGAACTCTACAATGCAGTGTACAGTAAAGTCTCGAATAACGACGGTAATGTGTCCATCAATATTGCAGTGTAAAGTGAATCATCGTATCGCGAATCATTAATTACCATTAAAATAAAGCAATAATAATGAGATGCGTTCCCAAGTGTGACCTTTCCATATCTTTTGTGTAGCTTTTCACCCTCTTTTCTCCCCAAAACAATACAATTAATGAAAATTGCAGACTATATTCTTTAAATAATGTTTCTGAATACACCTTATACAATATAAATGAATAATAATATGGTCACACAAGAGGAGATGGGACGCCATTGTTTTCGTTAGTGTTTACAGCCGGGAGTCTGGGACGATAGTTCTACACGAGAAATTAAGAAAGTAAGACCCTGGTTGTAGCTGTAGTAAAATTAATGTAAAAAAATTGAATATATAAGTTTTAAGTAATGTTATTTAATGTTAATAAATGGAACAATAGTAGTAGCTAACCACTAATGGCAAAGAAAAAAAATGAGATGGATTGGGACCAACAACATATACGTGCGCATTTAAGGATACCGAGTCATTTATCTTTTTAAAAATATGTACAAAAGATTCAGTATTGTTTATTACTGAATATGTATTTGATTGGATTAATCTTTATATTTGCGAAATGAACAATGCAATTCATTAATAATACGTAGAATATTAAAACACACAAGAGGATAAGAGACAGCATTGTTGTCAGTGTTTACACCCATAATGTCAGTTATCCACCTGAAACTGAAGAAATTAAGACCCTGGTTGTTTTTGTAGTCAAATTTATGTAAAAACTATGTATGTTTTTATTAATGTTAGTTAATGTACAGTAAAAGTAACCACTGATATTAAAAAAAAAAAGTGAGACTGATAGTGGAACGCCCCTGTATACGTGCGCACTCAAGGAAACATAGTCATTTATCTTAAGAATATGTACAAAAGATTCATTATTGTTTATTACTGGACAAGCAACTTTGGGTCATCATTCTTTGTTTTTGGAGGGTGATACTACACTTTCTTGGCCTGATATTTGCCCAAAGATGATCTCTGAAATAGACGATGTCTGGGCTAATTTATTGAAAGACTTAACATTCATTCCCGCAGACAGGAATGCTCACAAGTTTAGTTTTTTGAAGTTCCAATTTAATGACGAAAAGAGTTCCTTATATGAACTTTCCCAGTATTTGTCGGCTTCAAAATATGTTGATATAAGTTATGAAAAAAATTTGAAACCAGTTGCCCCTGCACTGCTGCTTGAAGAATTTAAAATTAGTAAATTGGCAGCAGATGTTTGGTCTGCAATTATGATGTGTCAGTTATTAACTAAGTTTGTGCTGGACTATGAAGAAAATTCAGAAGTGGACAAATGTTTTGCTGCTGCTCTACAAGGAATCCCATATTCCCTGTACAACTCATTTTTAGATCATTTGTTGAAAGCCCTAAGACTGAAAGTCCAGCTAAGGAAACAAGCAACAAATAACCCTAAATTAACCAGGGTCTTGGATATGAATCTTCGTTAGTTGAACCGTTGTTATCAGAGGCTTTACTGTACACTAACTTATGAGTACAGTACTGTATATCAGTTTTGCTCTTTTTATGCTTTTATTATATCTATTTATATGCTTTCATTACAGTGGTCCCTCGGTTAACGAGCACAATCCGCTCCAGCAGGTTTCTCGTTAACCGAAAGCATTTTTTCAATGGGTTTTTGGGTAATTGGTTCCAGCTCACCGAAAATTGCCTGAATTCAACAAAAAAGGTAGAAAAGTTCACTTACTTTGAGGTGTGTATGTAGAAGGCTCCTGGATGATGATGATGATGATGTGAATTTGAAGTGGGAGGTGGAGGAGGAGAAGGGAGAAGAGAAGGAAGTGGAGGTGGAGGAGGAGAAGCATTTTACTGCTTCTTGGAAGGTGAGTCACCTTCCATGAAAATATCAGGAACCTCTGGACTGACAGATTCTCCACCATGAACATCCTCTCTCCTTCTTGAAGTGGAAGGCTGAGGGATAACATCTTGTTCCCTCTGCCCTTTACTGAAGAAAGTGTCAATTGTGGTCTGTGGGGCACCTGTCCTCCTCACCATTAACTTATGTTTAAAGAAGGAGACCACTGAGTCCTCAACATGACACAAAGTTAGTTCAGTTTTTTCCACATCTGGGTGCTTTGAAGCCAGTTCCCTGAACTTCTCCCAGTGGTAAATCACATCTTTCAACTGTTTAGCTGACATATGGTCATCACTTTCAATTTCCTCCTCACCACTGTCAGCCTCTACCTGTAACATCTCATCCAGTTGCTTCAAGTCATCAGGAGTGAGTTTCTCCTCATGAGACATCACAAGCTCTTCCACATCCTCCTCCTCCACTTCAAGGCCCAATGACTGACCAATGGACACAATCTCCTGGTCCAACTCTGTTTCTTCCTCAAATCCCTCAAAATCATGGACTACTGATGGCCACAGTGCTTTCCATGAAGAATTGAGGGATCTAGTGGAGACTTCTTGCCATGATGACACAATCAATTTTACAGCCTCCAGGATGTTGAATTGTGTCTTCCAGAAATGTTTCAGTGTTAGTTCAGGATCATTGGAAGTTGCCTGATGACACCTCCTAAACATTTTCTTCATGTACAACTTCTTGAAGTTGCTGTTCACATTCTGGTCCATTGGCTGTATGATTGATGTAGTGTTTGGAGGCAAAAACAACACTTTCACAAAGTCAAATTGATGCTCCAAATTTCTGGCAAGGTCAGGGTCATGACCAGGAGCATTATCCATGAGGAGAAGAGCCTTTAAAGGAAGTTTATTGGTGGTTAGGTAGCTCTTGACAGAAGGGCAAAACACATCAACAGCCCATTCATTAAAGAGCTGTCTTGTCACCCATGCCTTAGGGTTGGACTTCCAATAAAGTCCAAGCTTTGTTCTTACCACTTTCTGTTGCTTGAACACCCTGGGGTTTTCAGAGTGGTAGACAAGTATAGGCTTAAGTCGGAAATCCCCTGAAGCATTGGCACCAAGCAATAGAGTGAGACGGTCTTTCATGGGTTTATGCCCAGGTAAAGAGGCTTCATCTCTGGTGATAAATGTTCTTTTGGGCATCTTTTTCCAGAACAGCCCAGTTTCGTCCACATTGAACACTTGCTGTGGAAGATAATTTTCTTCTTCCATCAGTTTTTTAAATTCATCTAAAAACTTTGCTGCCCCTTCCTTATCAGCACTAGCAGATTCACCATGCCTAACAACACTGAAAATGTCACTTCTTTTCTTAAATTTTTCGAACCAGCCTTTGCTGGCCCGAAAATCTTCAAATTGTGTGCCTGAAGAACCAGGTTGATCTGTCTTTAAATGTTCGTAAATCTCCCTGGCTCTTTCACGAATGAATTCAGTAGAAACTGAATCACCTTTCATCTGTTTTTCCCTAATCCAGATGAGAAGTAACCTCTCAGTTTCTGCAATTAGGGATCTACTTTTAAACACTCTGGTAGATTTGTCTCTCACTTTCACTTCTTTAAATTTGTCTTTCTGTGCAAGAATTGTCGACACAGTTGATGTCGACATGCCATATTCTTTGCATAGCGCATTTGTTCTAATGCCTTGTTCATGTTTTTTTATGATTTCCTGCTTGGTTTGGATTGAAATCGCTTTTCTTGATCTCTTAGGCCCTATGCTGGATTCAAACAATGTCAACACGCGCTTTTTAAAGTTAAACTTGTTGCAAATAAAGAATATTTTCTTTAAAATAACACTGCACTGCGCTATATATTGTCAATATGTAAAATAAATTTCAAAATGACCAATAATTTGCTTGAAAACACAAAAAAAGCGTTTAGTTGAAGAGAGTCTCAAGCAAGATGTTACCTCCAGTGAAAACAGAGAGAGACTAACGCCTGTTTGCTGTGTTAAGAGGCTGGATGCCGAGCATTAAACTAGTCACTTTACCTTCAATTATGTTCAATAATTGTTAAAATTACTAAAAAATTTAATATTAAACTTTTAAATTATTGAATAGTATAAACTTCTTGATATTTACTAAAATAGTAAGGAATTTAAGCCCTAGAACCGATTAATGTATTGGCGGACTGATACTACAGCTGGTTGACCACCCAGTGCAAGCCAAAACTTGTTGAGGTCGGCTCGTAAGAAACTCGTTAACCGAGGGGTTGCTCGTTAACCGAATTTAAGAATCTTATGGGAGGTAACTCGTTAACCGAAATCTCGTTAACCGAGGGACCACTGTATTGTAATTTATATGCCTACAATTGAAATTTTTAACGTTACAGTGTACAGTTAAAGAGGAATATAGAACAAAGATTTTTAAGTATCGCATACATATATTTTACCTTAAAGTGAACATTATGGGACTCAGGTCATGTCTCTCTGGGGTTCTGGTAACCTTATTTGCCTTAGGGCCACGGCCTTTTCTACCACGATATTGCCAGCCACGGGGTTTTTCAGAAATGCGACCCCCATGGTTGGAGAGGGAAGACTGTATATGGAGGCACTGTGGTTGGCACTGCACGTGACTGCCTTCTCTTACCCATCTAAAATTAGGTGCACAATTGCAGTTAGACAGACCATGCAGCCTGGAGAGCTGCCATCAGGTAATCATGGCTAATCCATACAAGTGTGAAAAATAGCTTTACAATGATGATGAGTCATTGTAATGTATTAACAACACTTGCTAAATGATGTACGTATAAGTCAAATTTCAATCACACCTTGAGGTAATATTAAGAACTATGGGCACTATGCCACCAAATCACTAAGAGGGCCTAATTATCAGAACAGTACTCTTACTTTGTCTCTTTAAAGACAATGACTTGAGAGACATTAGTGTTTGTTGTAGGGAGTGGCTAGAGCCCACAGTCAGAACTGCCTGGAGTGCAAGTTGCTACATAATGAACAGTTAGATCAAAGCCATTTAATAGGGGACATTATTTTTTCAATCACAGCTCAGCTATATATATATATATATATATATATATATATATATATATATATATATATATATATATATATATATATATATATATATATATATATATATATATATATATATATATATATATATATATATATATATATATATATATATATATATATATATTGATAATCATAATTAATAAAACCACCTCACTCCTGAAGATGTGAATTCACACCAAAGCTTGGGAACTCGTGCTTTCTTCCTCAGGTTATCAGCATATACCTAGATCAAGACCTACAGTGATTTGGTATATATATATATATATATATATATATATATATATATATATATATATATATATATATATATATATATATATATATATATATATATATATATATATATATATATATATATATATATATATATATATATATATATATATATATATATATATATATATATATATATATATATATATATATATATATATATATATATATATATCAAGTAACAACGGAGGCCCCCAAAAGAATGATAATAGTCACTCAGAGATTACTGTAGTTTGATATGGAGAAAAAAAACACACATAAATTTATGACCATTTTCCATGCTTGCATTGGTAAGTTGCAATTACCTGATGGCAGCTCTCCATGGTAAGCTGTCTCTTGCAACCTCTTGGGAATTTGTGAGATGATCCCCATAACTCTAATGTTACAACCTGTCACCATGTTCTTCTCTGCCTACCCTGCTCTCCTTCCCTCCACATTTAGTCCCATGTCTTTTAGCACAATTGGTTCTCCTGCATTCCCTGTACATCTCTAAACCATCATCAACCTGCCTCTATGCAGAACTCCATCATCATCGTTGTATGGCCATTTTCCATGCTTCCATGAGCTAGTCACAATTACCTGATGGCAACTGTTGGGTAAAACCAGAATGGGATCCTCCACTCACCATCACAAACCTCCGAGTTGGAACAGCTAGTAAGGCTGGGAATACTCTCAATCCCCAGCCACCCTCTTCGTGTGAACAGGGCTTCCTATCTTTTAGTGACACATTGCACATCCACTGACTAATCCACATATGTGGATCGTCTCATCATTCTCATTTCAGGTCACTCAGCTTGTGTATGTCATCCTCTTTAACCGCCACGTTTCATTTTCATACTTCACATTGATTATAACATTAGCTCTACTAATGGCATATCCTGATGTACTTTTCATTTCATTACCTCATCGATTTATATCCATTCTCGAGTTGTGTTATAGTGAGTGTCCCCCTCTATTTTATTTTAACCTCATGTATCCTCTTGCAGGTTATATATGGAGATACAGACTCAGTAATGATAAAGTTTGGTGTGAAAACTGTAGCAGAAGCAATGGTACTTGGGAGGGAAGCAGCTGCATATGTGACGGAAAAATTTGTCAAGCCTATTAAACTAGAGTTTGAGAAGGTAATATGAATTGATTAAAATTCTCTTTTGTTTATCAATTGTCTTATTCTTAAGACAGCTTGATGAATTTTAGGGTTGTAGAAAGAAGCTACTTTAACCAGAAATGAATTTCACCAGTATAGAAACATGTAGTCAATTTCCTGTAGTGGTAAATGTCACCAATTTGTCTTGAAACATTGTGAAGACATGAACCGGCTGAAATGAACTCTAGAATTTTGTTCCGTAATGGGTATCATATACAGTATTGCATTGCATGTGACCAATATCATTATATATATATATATATATATATATATATATATATATATATATATATATATATATATATATATATATATATATATATATATATATATATATATATATATATATATATATATATATATATATATATATACATACATACATACATACATACATTAAACCCCCGCTTTACGCGGTTTCACTTTACGCGTTTCCACATTTACGCGGTACCCTGCCGAAACCGGAATGCTCACTTTCCGCGGTGTGTGTACCCTTTTACACGGAGAGCGGCGCGAGCAGGGTGCGCACAAGGTCGGCCAGTCATCAAAACATTACCGAGTTCTTCACCCGCCACTCACCACAGCCGGCCCAAGTCAGTGATAGTGATAATGATAGTGAGGATATGGACTTAAATGGACTTTGAGGGGTTTGACAAAGAGGCCCTGCAAGCCTCTGTGGAGGATAGTGATACAATTGATACAAGTGATACAGGTGAGGGCCAATAATCTGCCCTCTGCCTCGGAACCAACCGCCCATCCCTGTGTGCCCAGCCATCTTTTCTACTACCGTATATCACGGCCTATAAGACGAAATTTGAACATAAAAAAATCTGCCCAAAGTTAGGGGGTCGTCTAAACCACCAAGTTTAAAATTCTTACCTCTTAAATATTGTGGTTTAGTTTGTCAAGAGTGGTGATGAAAACATCGTAAGCCACTCACAAGGTCTTACCACTAATTATTTTATACTGAAACTTACGTTTGGCAAGCTGGATTCAAATTAAGATTACCGGTATATTAAAATAATAAAAATGTATTATAAACCTGTCTAACATACCGTAAAAGAGATTTATACCCCTATAATAAACACAGCTATCATCACACACCCCTCCCCACGCCCCCCCCCCCATTTGCCAGTGAGGAGCCGTGGAGGTGGTCAGTAATGCATACCGGTATCGGTATATTTACTCATAATAATATTTATCTCCTATAAATAATTGATTTAAATTTTATTTTTTTCCAAAGAATATTCAGTAAATGAGTGCATTAATTCTTGAAACTATCGACGGTTAATTACAGACGCTCAAGTGACGTCACTAGTGTTTACACTACACCAGCTGGTAATATTTGATGCCATTACTTGAAGTGAATTGGCCTTATTTTAAGTAACTAACTATAAATAAATACAAAAATTAAAAAAAAAGATCAAAACTGAGAAATAATATACTGTATGTATGTTGTGTTGTCAAAGTAAGAGGAACAATTGTGTAAGTACGTAATATTTTTTCACTCAAATCCTAATGAAACACTACTGGAGAACATTCCTTTGTCGCAAAACAGTTTATAAATTAAAGAAAATAATTACAGTGTGTTTAATATATTACAGTATATTATAAATAAATAAATAAAACAAATAATTCGGTAAATCTATTTAAAGTAAATGGAAAATAAGCATACATGTTATTTACCAAGACCCTTCCGTCTGGCTCAGGGTGAGATGGAGGGGAGATAACAAAGCTATTTATAGCCCATCAGAAGTGACCAGTACCCTAATGCACCATAAATAATTCATTGAACATTCATTTTTTGTACATAGTATATTCAGTATATATATATATATATATATATATATATATATATATATATATATATATATATATATATATATATATATATATATATATATATATATATATATATATATATATATATATATATATATTTGTGTAATAAATGTATGTAGTAAGTACATACTGGTAACCTTTTTCACTCAAATCCTAATGAAACACCACAATTAGAATACGGTGGTTGCTGTTGAACCACATGTTGTATAAATAGTCGGAACACAGTCACACCACCGAGACGAGGGAACACTCCCACCACGCTTCAGTGACGTCACTAGTGTTTACACTACACCAGCGGGTATAATTTGATGACATTACTTGAAGTGAATTGGCCTTATTTTAAAAAATCAAGGATGGTTGGTAAAGGACTACTGAGTCAGTGGGTAAGTGTCACATTTGGGGTACTGGTCTTATACAGCAAATAGAGCTCAAAAGCTACTTTTTAAATGGAAATTTGGGGGGGGCGTCTTATGCACCCCGCCGCCTTATAGGCCGTGATATACGGTAATGAAAGTGTTAAAAAACCTAATATTATTGATATTTCTCTTAATTATTAATTGTGTGTGCATACCATCATAAAATTAAGAAGTTATTTTTACTACAACGTAGGTATTGTGTCTGAAAAAGTGGAGTTTGGGGGTCGGCCCGGTCTCTATTTCAATTAATCCCATATGCTATGTTGTTCACTTTACGCGTTTCTCACTTTCCGCGGTACCCTGTATATATATATATACTGTATATATCATTATCACTATCACTGACTTGGGCCGGCTGTGGTGAGTGGCGGGTGAAGAACTCGGTAATGTTTTGATGACTGGCCGACCTTGTGCGCACCCTGCTCGCGCCGCTCTCCGTGTAAAAGGGTACACACACCGTGGAAAGTGAGCATTCCGGTTTCGGCAGGGTACCGCGTAAATGTGGGGATTGGGTCGGTCCGGATTTTCGGATTTTCCGGATTCTCAGGCAGTACTTTTAAAATTAAAATTTAAGGAGGAATAAAGAAGAAATGAACAGGTACATTTTGATAGTTTATTCATTAGCAAATAAAGCATGCTTCATTTATCAAAACGAGCAGTTTTAAAGAAATATTAAGTCAACACTAGACAAAAATGTAAACAAACTGTCTAATACCATGACGAGTCTTGAAATTCCTAAGCCATCCATCACTAAATGATCACTCTGATTCAATGTTCATTTGCTCCTTAAAAGACTTTGCTTTGGCAATAAGTATCGGCCCAGAAATTGCCATTCCTTTTGATCGTTTTAACAAAAACCATTCGTGCAACACTTTATCAAGATTTTCTAATTTGGGCCAATGTAAACTTTTTCTTTCAGCAATTTTAATGTAAGGCTCAGAAGAAGCTGTGAATTCTAGAATTTTAATCTTTGCCTTTTTTATATCATAAATTGTAGACTTTCCAATGTTGTATGTTTCCATTAGAACAGCATTGCTCACATTACATTCTAGTTTCTTAATTATTTCAAGTTTGTCACTCAATTTCAATGTGTTCTTCTTTCTCTTCACACAACGAAGTTTATCTACTTTAGGGGCCATTATTATGGGCTTGTACAGTATACTCTGTAAATGGAAAGGGTAGGACTCAAAATTACATATGTTGTCACAGTTTGATTGCTCGTTTTAAAGTGTCGATCGTGTGGTCGTTTGTTGTCGCTGTGCAGCTGTGGCATTCACGCATGTACACATACACACAAAAGATTTATAGTGCCTCAAATTTTACATTTCAGTTCAAGCTAATTTCAAAACTAACAAAATTAGCTACCTATAATTTACAATTACTTTTATTATTAGAATTATGTAAATTAATTTTTTAAAGCAACTCCATTCATTCACATAACCCACAAAAGCCCCCGCTAAATTTAAAAAGTTTGAGTTTTCAAAAAGTCCGGATTCTCGGGTGGTCCGGATTCCTGGCATCCGGATTTTTGGACTTTTACTGTGTATATATATATATATATATATATATATATATATATATATATATATATATATATATATATATATATATATATATATATATATATATATACATATACATATGTATACATATACATATGTATGCATATGTATACATACATATATATATATATATATATATATATATATATATATATATATATATATATATATATATATATATATATATATATATATATATATATATATATATATATATATATTTTTTTTTTTTTTTTTTTTTTATTATTATTAAACTTGTCATAAAGTTTTTTTGTCACAACGTTATTTTTAATCTTTACTTGCAGGTATACTTCCCTTATCTTCTAATAAACAAAAAACGTTACGCTGGCCTCTACTTTACCAGACCAGAGAAGCACGACAAAATGGATTGCAAGGGTATTGAGACAGTGAGGCGAGATAATTCCCCCATTGTGGCCAATCTTATTAACACGTGTCTACAAAAGATCCTTATTGAAAGGTATGGTTGAAAATAAATTATTGTCTTGGAACCATAAAAATGATTACTGTAGTACTTTTCACCTTGGAATATCCTGTACATGAGAGTAAAGTGCATTACATCTACTGTCCATTCTTTATTCATAGCTGAGTGACAGATGTACTCATTATTCCTTATGTACACCATATATATAAATATACATCTGTTAACCAGAAAATTCGGGCTTTGAGAACAAATTCCGAGGTTGAAAATCAAGAGCATTTTCTGAAAATGTCTTGAATAAAGACGAAAGCTAAAGTATTTTTTGGGAACCTGACCTGACTCGACTCAATGTCAGGTGGAGGTGGGGTGAGGGATTAGTTGTCTCATATTACTGCCCTTTTGATGGAATGTCAGGTCACCCATTCTTGGGTGAGAGATTAGTGGGTCTCATTACCTGAGGATGTCTTGAATAAAGACACCCTCCAACACCACCACCAACACGCACCCTCCAACACCACCACCAACACACACCCTCCAACACCACCACCAACACGCACCCTCCAACACCACCACCATCACACACCCTCCAACACCACCAACAGAGATAAGATATGTTTATATTTCTTTAATGGTAGTTATAAACCAGTTGGGTTTCTGTTCCCACAACACCAAGATGTAGGGGATTTTAGTAACCATCTAATCTTTGGATATTTTTTATATTCCTCTTGTGTGACTAATAATATGAGAGCTATGAAATTGGTATTGTGTTGTTTGATAGTGTATATTTTGTTGACTCCAAATAAGGGATCAATTTAATGTACCACTCAAAGAGTTGTGTCCTTTTGAAGTGTGAAATAAGTCGGTGTTCAGTTGTCCAGGTTGTTTGATTTAACAGTTTGAATATTCTTGTTATAATACTGTGGTGTTATGTGGTTGTTCCACTAACACAGTACAGTGATCCCTCGGTTAACGAAATTTCGGTTAACGAATTACCTTCCAAAAGAATATTCAATTCGGTTAACGAATTCCTTACGAATTTTTCCCAATATGTTTTCACCTGCTTTCGCCTGCTCACCAGCTGTAGTATTAGTCCACCAATACAGTACAGTGGTCCCTCGGTTAATGAGCACAATCCGTTCTAAAAGGTTGCTCGTTAACCGAAAAACTTGTTAACCGAAACCACTGTTTCAATGGGTTTTTGGGTAATTGGTTCCAGCTCACTGAAAATTGCCTAAATTCAACAAAAAGGTAGAAAAGTACACTTACAGTAATTCCTCGGTTAACGAAATTTCAGTTAACGAACTGCCTTCCATAAGAATCTTCAATTCGGTTAACGAACAAAAATTCGGCTAACAAATTTCTTACGAACCGACCTCGACATGTTTTCGCTTGCACTGGCCGGGCAACCAGCTTTAGTATCAGTCCGCCAATACATTAATCGGTTCTAGGGCCTAAATTCCTTGCTATTTTAGTAAATATCAAGAAGTTTATACTATTCAATAATTTTAAAAGTTTAATATTAAATTTTTTAGTCATTTTAACAATTATTGAACATAATTGAAGGTAAAGTGACTAGTTTAATGCGCGGCATCCAGCCTCTTAACACAGCAAACAGGCGTTAGTCTCTCTCTGTTTTCACTGGAGGTAACATCTTGCTTGAGACTCTCTTCAACTAAACGCTTTTTTTCTGTGTTTCCAAGCAAATTATTGTTCATTTTGAAATATATTTTACATATTGACAATATATAATGCAGTGCAGTGTTGATTTAAAGAAAATAATCTTAACGTACACCAAGAGAAATAAAATTTTATTGGTGAAATGGTGCCATGGGGTGACTTCTCTTCCACCCCAATGCCTTCTCTTCTTCCTTCTCCTCCACCCCCATTCTAATTCCCATCATCATCATCCAGGAGCCTTCTACATACACACCGCAAAGTAAGTGAACTTTTCTACCATTTTTGTTGAATTTAGGCAATTTTCGGTGAGCTGGAACCAATTACCCAAAAACCCATTGAAACAATGGTTTTGGTTAACGAACTTTTCGGTTAACGAACAACCTGCTGGAACGGATTGAGTTCGTTAACCGAGGGACCACTGTACTTTGAGGTGTGTATGTAGAAGGCTCCTGGATGATGATGATGATGGGAATTAGAGTGCTGGAAGAGGTGGTGAAATTAGACACTGCACTGATATTGTCAATATGTAAAATAAATTTCAAAATGACCAATAATTTGCTTGGAAACACAGAAAAAAAGCGTTTAGTTGAAGAGAGTCTCAAGCAAGATGTTACCTCCACTGAAAAGACACAAAGACTGACGCCTGTATGGTGTGTTGAGAGGCTGGATGCCACGCATAAAACTAGTTTCATTACCTTCAATTATGTTCAATAATTGTTAAAATGACTAAAAAATTTAATATTAAACTTTTAAAATTGTTGAATAGTCTAAACTTCTTGATATTTGCTAAAATGGTAAGGAATTTAAGCCCTAGAACCGATTACTGTATTGGCGGACTAATACTACAGCTGGTGGACCGCCAAATGCAAGCGAAAACATGTTCAGGTCGGCTCGTAAGAAACTCGTTAATCGAGGGATTGCTCGTTAACCGAAGTTAAGAATCTTATGGAAGGTAACTCGTTAACCGAGGCGCTCGTTAACCGAGGGACCACTGTAATCGGTTTTAGGGCTTAAATTCGTTACCATTTGAGTAAATATCAAGAAGGTTGTACTATTCAATAATTTTCCAAGTCTTATATTAAGAATTTAGTCATTTTAACAATTATTTAACGTAATTGAAGTACAGGGAACTAGTTTTTAGCGTGCCAAACAGCCACTTGACTCACCCAGAATGGCGTCAGTTTGTGTCTCTGCTCAGTGGAGGAAGCATCTTGCTTGAGACTCTTGAACATAAACTATTTTTACGTTTTTACAGTACAATTATTGGTCATTCTGAAATTTATTTTACATATTGAAAATATATAATGCAGTGTTGATTTAAAGAAAATAATCTTGAATTACATCTAGTGAACTTAAAATTTTATGGGTGAAATGGCGGTATGAAGCATGGGGTGACTTCTCTTCCATCCCCACTGCCTTCTCTTCTCCCTTCTCCTCCACCCCCACTTCTATTTCCCATCATCATCATCATCAACCAGGAGCCTTCTACATGCACACCTCAAAGGAAGTGTACTTTACTGCATTTATTTTTAGTTTGTATGTAATTTTCGGTGAGCTGGAACCAATTACCCAAAATCCCATTGAAACAATGGTTTCGGTTAACGAACGACCTTCTGGAACGAATTGTGTTCGTTAACCGAGGGACCACTGTATTAAACTATCATCAATGGTTAGTCTTTCACTGAAATTTGAACCTCGCTTCAAAATGTAAAGGGATTTATTAGCATCTTTACATAAGGGAAAGTCGAGGAAGGAAAACCTAAGGTACTGTATTACTTTGTGAGAAAAACTGATTATTTGTTTATTATTCCCAATTTGAGTATTAATCGGTGCATGGCTGGAAATGTTCCTCTTTTATAATGTAAAATGTATAAGATCTTTGCTGTGAATATTTCTTCCTTTTACTTTGCTCATTATAATGTAAATTTCCTTTGTGCTATCATGACAGAGACCCTTCAGGAGCAGTTGATTACGCCAAGCACACTATATCAGACTTGCTGTGCAATAAGATCGATATTTCACAGCTAGTCATAACAAAAGAATTAACTAAAACTGAGAAGGAATATACAGCTAAGCAAGCTCATGTAGTACTCGCCAATAAAATGAGAAAGCGGGACCCAGGCACTGCCCCTAAACTCGGGGACAGGGTTCCCTTCGTCATCGTTGCAGGGGCGAAGGGCACGCCCGCTTACGAAAAAGCTGAGGTTAGTATCAGGTTGATGGGTTGTTTGTCTTTCAAGATGTAGGAAGTGATTTGGATATCTCATAACTCCATGGCAGAACATATTTACTACAATAGTAAGACTGAATGGACGACAGCATCGTAAATAGAATAGAATAGATAAAGTATCATGAAGGTAGTCTGAATTGTTTTTGTCATAAACAGAATTGTAATAAGATTAAACATTGACAACATTTTTATAGTAATATATCAGGTTATAATTATCCCATTTTATTAACTGCCAGTGGTACTTATTTTGCAGGACCCCATTTATGTGCTGGAAAATAGTCTGCCTATTGACTATGAATACTACCTCACAAACCAACTCAGCAAACCTCTGTTGAGAATATTTGAACCTATCCTTGGAGATAAGGCTGAATCTCAATTGCTTAGTAAGTTTAAATTTTTGACTCTGTTCTTCTATGCACATGTATTATGTATTTCCTTACCCAGAAACCTTAAAAGAGGGGTGGGGAAGCAGAAATAGTGGTGTGTTAAAAAAAGACAGGAAAAGGTCATATACAGCAAGTATAAACACACACAGACTCATATTCCTCATAGGTCTGCTTAAAGTATATTTCATAACCTACACATGCAGGGAGACTCGTTTTTCATCGCCCCCTTGTTCGTTGTTTAATTAATTCGTCATTTGAAATACAAGTAATTTAATTTAATTTAATTATTAAAAAAGAAATGACATGACTTGGTAATGCCAAAACAATACCAAATGTTGAATGAAATAGGAAAGCAGCTCTATTATGAAACTACAGGGTATTCATAAACAATAAAAACTTATTTCCCTTATTGTACAATTGGAGGTTAATTTTTTTTTTGTCCAAACTAGATTTTTCACTTGTCCCAGGCAACTGGATAACCATTAAAGTTGATCCCTGATAGAATACAATAACATATATCTCTCTCCACTAGAGGGTGACCACACACGATCAAGAATCATCACACACAGCAAAGTTGGAGCAATGGCAAAATTCATCACCAAAAAAACATCATGTGTTGGTTGCAAAGTTGCTATTGACTCAGCATCTGAGGCACTGTGTAAACACTGCAAGGTAAGTTTTTTTTTTTTTTTTTTTTATTGGCCCAGAATTTTAGTATGATTGTAAGTTATTTGTTGTTTTTTAATTATATAAAACCTGTTTTAACTTCCTTTCTATTATTTCATCCTCACGCCCTTTGGTAGTTTATTCTCTCACAAACCTTAAGTATGCATCTTGCATTGTTTATGTGCATGTGGATGTTCATTAGAAAGATTTTCCACATTCTTTTTGTTGACTAAAATAACCCTAAAGGACCCTCAAAGTCATGTGGTAACAATTAAAAGCTTACCTATAAGATCCTTACATGGTTTAAAGGTCCTGAGCACACAGTGTCGTTCAGAGGTGCCAGCATGTCTCCTACCACTTCTACTTCCTTATGTTATTTACTACCGCCTGGGAAGATATTGGAAGCATAATGTGTTGTCTAATGGTAGACCCTGCTGCCATATGGCATCACAAAAATTGTGACCAAGCCCCAGGTTGCTGATCTGATTTTCTGCCTCATTTATATACAATTGCAGGGTCTCAATTGTTTCTCTTTCTTTGACAACACAACATATTGTACATATATCGTTTCTCACTATTGATCTTTTTTCATTTTTTTTTATAACTTTATGGTTCTTTATTATTATTATTGTTATCAGTGTTATTATTATTTATTTTTTAATTTTGTATTTTTTATAAATTTTAATTACTTTGAACTAATTATTATTATTATTATTATTATTGTAATTATTATTTCGTTTTCACGCCCCAGGCCTGGATGTGGGTCAGTGACCTGTGCTCAGGTGGGCTAATCCCTGTATAGAAAAAACAAAACAAAAAAAACATCAATACAGTATAACTATAAAATTAGTTCTATGTATACTGTACACACTATGCACTGGAGTCACAAAATTGCGAGTCAGAGTCAGATAGCTTCCCAGTGCATGCCCAGTACTTACGTGACCTAAACTATGTCAGTGACCAATTAGCGTATGTCAGGGGATGGCATAATTTACGTCAGTGACCATTAAGAGGTTAAGGTTCTTTTCATAGTAAATTTAACATAAAAATTCATCATCATATTGAGGCATAAAAGCAAATGTTTAGTCATATTTATTCATTTATTTAAATCTGGCCTGATAATTTTCTCAGTAAACAAATGTCTTATTTTTTCATTGCCAAATTGATTATTCTTAAGATCAGAGCATATTGGGGGGGGGTCCATCCTGACAGCTGTGAAGATAGAAAATAAATAAATCAATACATTCACTATCAGTATTTCTGCAGCACACAGGCAAGTGTTTGGTGTAAAACTAAATTACCCACCTGCAGGAGTCATAGACAATTACCCAGCTACAGGAATCTTAAGATCATTATCCACCTGCAGGAGTCATAGACAATTACCCAGCTACAGGAGTCTTAAGACCATTATCCACCTGCAGGAGTCATAGACAATTACCCAGCTACAAGAGTCATAGACAATTACCCAGCTACAGGAGTCTTAAGACCATTACCCACCTGCAGGAGTCATAGACAATTACCCAGCTACAGGAGTCTTAAGACCATTACCCAGCTACAGGAGTCTTAAGACCATTACCCACCTGCAGGAGTCATAGACATTTACCCAGCTACAGGAGTCTTAAGACCATTATCCACCTGCAAAATTAATAATCAATCACCCACCTGCACGAGTCTTAAAACCATTACCCACCTGCAAAAGTAACAGACCATTACCCACCTGCAGAAGTCATACACAATTACCCACCTATAGGAGTCTTAAGACCATTACGGTAGGGTCGGGATATATCGCGAGATGGGGGGGGGGGGTTAAGCCCACCCGGACATAGGTCATCGGCCCACAACGGGGCCTGGGGGGGGGGGGAAGGTAAGAGTAAAAAGAAACTAAAAATAGAAGAGAAAAAGATTACCATATATCTCGGCGTACAAGGCGACGGGGTGTATAAGACGACCCCCCAAAATTTCCATTTAAAAAGTAGGTTTTGAGCTCTATTCGCTATATAAGACTACCACAAATATGACACTTACCATTGGGAGCTTAATGACCCACTAGTCCTTTACCAACCATCCCATTGACCAGTGCTGTTTACACATCCTTGGTTATTTAAAATAAGGCCAATTCACTTCAAGTAATGGCATCAAATGTTACCGGCAGGTGTAGTGTAAACACTAGTGACGTCACTTAAGCGTTTGTTATTTAACTGGAACTAATGTCGGTGTCTAGTAAAATTTTTCCATTTACTTGAAATGGACTTACCGGTTTATTTGTTAATTTATTTATTTATAATATACTGTGATATATTAAACACACTGTAAGTATTTTCTTTAATTTATGAACTTGCTTCGCGACAAAGGAAGGCTATACCCGGTAGGTGAAGTTTACCTGATGCAGTTATGGTTCCATCATCATCAATGATCAAACTCCGAATCAGATGACGTGACTTCGGCTTCTTCATTCTCATTCTAAATTTAGCATGAAGAAAACTACCACTGTCGGTAGTTTCAAGAATTAACGCATTCATTTACTGAATATTCTTTGTAAAAAAATAAATTTTAAATGAATTATTTATAGGAGATAAGTATTATGATCAGTAAATATACCGGGATGCATTACTGGCCACTTCAGACACAAAGACGGGCTAAAAATAGCCCGATCTCCCCCTCTTACAGCAGCCACTTTCCCTTTTTTGTCTCGTCTCTGGCAAATGGCGGGTGGTGCGTGATGATAGCTATGTTTATTACTGGGGTATATTGTTATTTTACGGTATGTTAGACAGGCTTACAATACATTTTTATTATTTTAATATACCGATAATCTTATTTTTAATCTAGCTTCCCAAACGTAAGTTTCAGTATAAAATAATTAGTGGTAGGACCTTGTGAGTGGTTTACGATGTTCTCCATCACCACTCTTGACACGCTAAACCACAATATGTAAGAGGTAAGAATCTTATACCCGGTATTTAAGACGACCCCTAATTTTGGGCTGATTTTTTTAAGGTTCAAATTCTGTCTTAATAGCCGAGATATATGGTATATTAATCTACACCACAAAGATGGCAGAAAACCAGCTTTTTGAAGTGAGACAGATTGCATGAGTGTGGAAACACAGAAGTCAGAGCATTCCACAGTTTGGCTGTGTGAGGAAAGAAGGATGTACTATAGCGGATTATTCTTGTGTGACCGACATCCACACTGCGGCTAAGATGAGTGTTACGAGCCCACGGCCTTGCTGGCGGTACACAGGATGCCGAATCCACCACACATTGCCCGTTAAAGTACTTGTAAAAGAGAGAATGAAGCAACATTGCAGTGAAGAGAAGGGGAAGAAAGATTATCAACTAAAGGAGGAGAGTTAATAAGACGAAATGCCTTTGATTCCACCCTATCTAAAAGTTGGACAGAAGAAGAGCCACCCCAGATATGAGAGCAGTACTCCAAGTTAGGACGAATGAATCCCTTATATACTTGAAGCAACTGCTGAGGAGTGAAGTAGCTAGGGCATCTGTACAGCATTCCCAGCTTTTGGGAGGCAGCTTTAGCTTTAGCTTTCATGGCATATTAGAGGAAATGGTGTTGCCTAGTTTATCAATTTTAGAATTTGGTTGAATGATTGCATCCTGAAATGTGAATGGTGGGAGATCATCTAATTTGGAAAGTGTAATTGGTAAATACTGAGTTTTGTTACTTTTGAATTTAACCAAGTTTCTACCTACCATTCGGAGATGCTGCACAGATCCACATTGATCGGTGAAATGATATCAGCTCTAGAAACAGATCTAGTTTGAGAGTTAGGGGGAAGGGAAAATGTGAAGAAGAGTGAAGAGTAGAATTATCAGCGTAAGAATGGATAGAATTAGTTGTAGTGTGAAGTAAATCATGATAAAAAGAAGGAAGATAGTAGGGAAAAGAACAGAACCCTGTGGGACACCACTATTGGTAGAGAAAGAGCGAGAGATCGATCCCTCGACAACAACTGCCAAGGATCGGTTCTCAAGGAGAGTGGCGGTCAAGTGGATACAGCGCTGGCCTCCTGTTCTGTGGGTCGGTGGTTAGATCCCCTGGCGTTCCCAGTTCTCCCAGCTGTAAATGGGGACATAAGGTTACAACTTGGGGAAGTGGATGTAATATAGTACATTATCAGACATGCTACCTCCTTGTCCCTAATGGGCACTAATGCTTATGGGACCAAACTTTCAATTTCACTGAACTTAAATTTTGTTTGTTTTCAATAGTGTGTAAGTTTGATATATTTTATGCATTTCCTCATTATGCTTGTTTTGCTTTTTGTTTTATTGTTGTAATTTTATGAAACCACTGAAATTACCTTAATTGAGGTTTCTTAATCTCAGCTTCGTGAAAGTGAAGTGTACATGCAGCAGATGACAGTGTTGTGTACCCTAGAGGAGAAGTTCTCAAGGTTGTGGACCCAATGCCAACGCTGCCAAGGATCCATCCATGAAGAAGTTATCTGCACTAGGTAAAAGGTTTTTTATTTGTTTATTAAAAGTGTAAAGTGAGGCTGTTTATATAAACTATGTAAGATATACAGTACCTAGTAGTTTTTTAAATGTTTATCTTGCTTCTTAAGTTGGATGTTTTATGTATGTGTACAGTATATTGAGAGAGAAGAGTACTTTAACTGGCAATGTTCGGTGGATTTGGCATCCTGTGTACCGCCGGCAAGGCCGTGGGCTCGTAACACACGTCTTGCCCGCGGTGCCCACCGTTTCTCTGTGGATGTCAGTCACACTAGAATAACCCATTATAGTACATCCTTCTTTCCTCACACAGCCAAATTGTGGAATGCTCTGCTTTTTTTTTTGTTTCCATACTTATACAATATGTCTCACTTTAAAAAGCTGGTTTTCCGGCATCTTCGTGATGTAGATTAACGCAGTACAGTATAACCTTTTTCTTCTCTATTTTTAATTTCTTTCTGTTCTTATTTTTTCGCTGCCCAGGCCCCATTGTGGGTCATCCGACCTGTGCCCGGGTGGGCTAATTCCCGTAAAAAAAGGCCAAGTCTGGTCAAAAACATGAGAGCCACTCATCTGTCCTACATCCACTTCAAAGCATTTTTAACCTTAGGCCAGTTATTATTCACTAATTAATAATAACATCACACCCACACACACACACTACTTTGCTACCACTCGGAATCAAGTATGACGATCATCCAGCTGTGATACAATGATAAGAGTCATTAGGGATGTCACCTAGGTTGGTGAGTTCTGAGGTGACTAAAGAGGCCGATACGGGACCGGCAGGGTCGATCACAGATGTTACACATATGGGGGGCTACATCTAGTGCGGGAAGGGCGGTGGCAGAATCTTTTCAGCGTTGGCGCTTGTCTGCCTCGGTTTACAGTCGAGCCAACTCAAAAGTATTGACTCCTTCTCGTGTAGTGCTCCTCCAAGCGGTACGATGTGGAGTAATCGTCTCCCAGGTGAGGGGGTCTATTTGGCACTTTTTCAGGTTTGCCTTGAGACTATCTTTATACCTTTTCAGTTGCCCATTAGGTGACTGTAGAGTACTAGTTGCTTTGGCAGTCTACTGTCATCATTGTGAGTAACAAGGCCAGTCCAACATAGTTGTTCATGGATAATGGTAGCCTCGATGCTCCTGCAGTTGATGTCAGCGAGAATACTGGCATTTGTTCTCTTGTCTTCCCAGCGAACTTGGAGGATTGAACATGGACTACGTTGGTGAAAGTTTTCAAGTGCCTTCAGGTGCCTCCAGTATGTGACCCATATCTCGCTGCCATATAGCAGGGTGGGGAGGTCCACTGCTTGATATACGTGTAACTTTGTAGATAATTTCGGTTCCCTACAGCTGAAGACACGGGTACGGAGTCTGCCAAAGGCTCGAGATGCACATCTGATCCAATGCTGAATCTCTTCATCAATGTCTGCGGTGGTGGACAGGTGGGAGCCGAGATACCAAAAGTGGGCAACATTAGAGAGAGAGTAGTACCGTTAAACTGGATGAATGGTGGAGGTGTGGCTGAACCAAGGGCAGGCTGTAAGTGAATCTGAGTCTTACCTACATTCACCTCAAGGCCGAAGTGTACATACGCATCTGTGTAGGTGTTCAGGATCTCCTGTAGATCGTGTTTAGTGTGAGCGACAAGGGTAAAGTTGTCTGCATACTGAAGTTCAGTAAGGGAATCTGCATACACCTTTGTTCCTGCCTGGAGTCGTCTTATGTTGAAAATACCCTTCATCCGGTATTGGATGTCCACCCCGCCGGCTAAATTGGCACTGGCACGAGTAAGGAAGGCAGCCAAGAAAATGGAAAAGAGGGTTGGTGCCAGTACACATCCTTGTTTTACCCCGTTTGAATGGGGAAGAGCTCAGAATGTGTGCCATTGTGTAGGACACTGCCGTTCATGCCATCATGGAGTTGCCTCACAATGGCAATGAATTTTGGTAGGCAGCCACAACAACTGAGGGTCCGCCAGAGGTCTTCTCTGTTGACAGAGTCGAAGGCCTTCGCTAGGTCGATGAAGGCCATGTATAGGTCACAACACTGTTCTCTGCACTTTTCCTGTACCTGGTGGGCAGCAAAGATCATGTCAGTGGTGCCACATGATCGTCTAAAACCACATTGAGATTCTGAGAGGAAGTCTGTTTAGGAGGACTCAGGTGATAATCTTGCCAGCTACAGACAGCAGCGAGATCCCGCAGTAGTTGCCACAGTCTAACCGCCTCTCTTGTTCTTATAAATATTGATGGGGGCATCTTTAAGAGCTTGGGGGATTTGCTCCTTTTCCCATATATTCTCCAGGAGAGAGTGGAGACGGCTGGTAAGCAGAGGTCCTCCTGCTTTATACACCTCGGCTGGGATTCCATCAGGCCCTGAGGCTTTGTTATTTTTCATCTGTTTGATGGCAGTAGTTACCTCATTCAGAGATGGAGGATAGCTGAGGTGGGTCAGCTCTGGATGCTGAGGGACCTGCTGGGAAGTCAGGACGTCCACATCGGTGTTTTAGTTGAGCAGCAAATGGTAGTGCTCTTTTCAGGGCTGAAGGATGCCTTCTTCGTCTTTAAATAGGGAGTTACTGTTGGATGAGTGGAGGGGGGCTGCCCCAGGAGTGATTGGCCTCTCTGCAGGTTTTGGTCATGACACTGGTATTTGGGTTGTTTATGAGCCTATGTTCGAGCTGCTCGGGTGATGAGGACATCTCGACGTTCTCGTTCTTTGACAATGTTGTAGTCAATGAGATGCCAGTGTTTGGATCATGGATGTTGCCACAAACCCTTGGACTTGTCAGCCTGCCTAAACAAGGTATTGGTGATAATGAGGTTGTGTACAGCACACTTTCCGAGGAGGAGTTGGCCGTTGGGATTACATTTGCCAAGTCCATTTCTCCCTATAGTTCCCTGCCAAATATTAGCATCCCTGCCAACTCTGGTATTGAAGTCACCAAAGAGCACAAGCTTATTTTCTCTGGGAATAGAGGTTAGCACTGTCGAGGTCAGCGTAAAAGGCCACCTTGATGTTATCCTCTGCAACCAGTGTTGGGGCGTATGCACTGATGAAGAAAGCATAATGTGCGTGATTCAGTAGGACTCTGAGTGTCATGAGGTGCTTGTTGATTCCAATGGGCATTTCAGTTAGCCTGTGTAGGATGCTTTGGTGGATGGCAAAGCCAACTCCATAAATGTTGTTTCTCTCCACAGCAGGCTTACCCTTCAAGAAGAAGGTATAGGCAGACCCCCGTTCTGTGAGTCGACCCTCATTTGGGAGCCGGGACTCACTAATGGCTGCTATGTCAATGTTATACCTAGCCAGCTCTTTTGGCAGAAGGGTCCTTACATTCCATGCACGACGATAAGAAGTTTTATATTTTGTTTGTGTTTTGATCTGTGATTAAGATTGTGTTTTCAACCACTTAAGGATGACTTACTGGGTGTGGTTGCATAGTCAGGTTGGTTCTTTAGGCAGGCTATGATTAGGGCACCTTTTCTAGCTCCTCAAAAGGGCAGCTCAGTCACACAGACAGGACCGGATTGCACTGCTGCCCAGATCCCAGTGCATAAACAACTATCTTATGTGTGCCCCCATGTGTAGAGTTGTGACTAGAGACTCCCGGCAGTCATCTCTGCCTGTCCCCGTCGCCACTCATCCATCGCCATAGGACTTTTGGGGGTATAGGGTTTTGATGATGATGAGAAGTATGATGAGCTGGATGATGGCTGAGCATGAGTTGATTTATGTTGTGAGGCAGGAGTGCTGGCTGCAACCACACATCATGGCTCTCCCTTTTCCTGATCCAGTGATGCAAGTGTTGCAACGACAGGGAAGAGGGAAAGTTGCAATGGACTGCCGATAGCCCAGATTGTTGGGTTTTGCCTTAGTAGCCTGTCCATCAGGCATTGCCTTCGTCCGCCGGTGTAGTCGTTGGGTTCCCATGGTGGTCACCTCTTTCACCTATACTGCCATTGGGTCTTGTTGGAGCTCTGTGAGCATGTCTGCCTTATACGGGGCTCTACTTCAGATTTTCCATTCGGGGTTTACTCCCGTAGCCTTATATCTACCAAGGTTACTCCACAAGGCAGTGGGGCAGTGGTTGGTAGGTACCATAGGCCCACATGCCAGTGGGCTTATGCACTGTCCCTCTGGGGCCCACTGCTACTCCGACATCCCCTGCTGGTCTAGTCTGGGCTCACGAGGCACCCAGTTACCGTGTGTTACCACGAGGAGGCACAGCAGGGGTCTTGATGGTGAGGAGGCTGTGTACTGGCAGGGGAATACTTATGCAAGTTGCCTCCCTGTTCGCCACGAGAGCTAGCCAGTGACAGCAACTGAAAGTGAGAGGGAGCAATCAGTGCTTGAACCTTAACACTGACATAATTCTGCCACACTAGACGCATTACTCCACCCTGTCACACATGTCTTGGAATCAGCTGGTGACTGCCAGCTGATCTGTGTTTGCACTTAGACAATTGATCAGCGAATAAACCAGGGCATATTGAGATGCATTATAAACTACAATAATATTTATTAAGTTCTGATAAATATGCTATAATATTATTTAGTAGTTCTCAGGACAGATCCTGTGGTAAGCACTAGCTCTCTTGAGCAGTGACAACAATGGTGTGTGAGAGCTGGCAACATTATTATGGCGAGCGAGTCAGCTGGACCAATCAGCTGTTATCGCTATGTAAACAAGAGACTGAGAATATACTCCTGCACAATAGCTCATCTGGGATTTTTTGGCGAAAGATAATTATTTTTCGATAAGGTTTTTTAATTCGGCACCAAATGAACCTAAATAAAATGGGAATTATGGTGAATTGCATACCTGTACTGTTGTTATAAAGGGATCACGAACTGTGGAGCAGGAGGTGGTGAGTTGTCCTTCCTCCCTCACTGCCTCCCTCCTTCATTTCCTTTTAAAATACTTACTATAAAAATAAGAACATCTGTGGAAAAGATGAACAATATTTAACAACTCATTCTGGTGGTAGTGATTTTTTTCAGAAATTACCACAAATTTTCTTAAAGCCTCCTTGGATAGCCAAATTTCAATCACGATTCTTGAATATAAAGGGGCACTAATAATTTGTTTGTGAATATGGGTGATAAGTGTACTGTATAACGAATTCATTCAGTATACAGTAGAGAGGTAATACTGAGGAGGGGTTCGGTATATTCCTGTATGGGAGTTTGGTATAACGAGGTAATAATGTATCCCAAACTTCATATTATCCTTTCAAAATATGCTATTTGCCATGCTGATAATAATGATAGCTTGATAGTGGAAATACTGTAATTTATTTAAGGAATACTGTACTAATCACAAATAGTGGCTACCATGCATAAAATAATATACTTAAACATGAACCTTTTTTATTTCTTTCAGTCGAGACTGCCCAATTTTCTACATGAGGAAGAAAGTACAAATAGAACTGGTTGACCAAGATAAACTTCTTCAGAGGTTTGGGGCTCCAGCTTGGAAATAGGAGGCCTTAGAAAATTAGTAATTGACAGTGGCAAAAATTTTATTATTTGTAGAATATCCTTTCTACACACTTGTGTTCAGATGGCCTGTTTATGTGTTGAGGAAATTTATGAATGTTTCAACTACTTTAGGAAATACTATAACAGAAGTGTGTTTTTACTTACTTTATTTACTCTTATGCAGCTACTTAAGTTTAAGCACTGTAAAGTGTTTTCACTTGTTTCTTTTTCATAATATCACTGACTTACTTGTACTTAGCCATCTGCCACTGGGGACTCATTATTGTTAGTATATTAGGCAGGGAGAAATGTAGAGAGAAATCTGACTAATTAAATTTATTAAAAAAAAATGTGATATGAAGTTACTGTATATGTCTTATCCCTATTCCTAACTAGGCATGCCGTGGAAGGTAATTCACTATACACTTGTACGACTATAGAGAAATATCCATCAATCTTACCATGTGTGGTACTGTTGACGCCTGCCCACGCGAGATGCCCAGCCAGACCACACCATGCTAAAACTGACTACATTTAACATTCTCTCTTCGCTATAGAGTATATTCTGAGTATCCAATCAGAGTCTATCTTTCAAAGATTCTTTAGGTACTTTTTTCACTGATTGGCTAGTTAACAAAATGGGCAGAGCTACCTTCATGGCACTTTGTATAGGTATCTAGTTACCCATGCGAGGATAACAAATGGTGACAAATTAGGATAATTGTCACTTGACAGGTACTGTAACCACACAAGGCCCCACAGGTCAATTTTCATGTTCCCCTCGTAATGGCTGGCTATCTTGGGCTTGCGTGGGTGCCCCTTTTATTACATAAACATTTTGTAGGTGCCCTATGATATAGTGACGAAGATATAGAGTGTCGAGACGAACAGAGAAAGCCGACAAGGCGAGGCAGAGGGGTGGGAAGTGAGAGACCACAGGGAGAGTGGCTTTATTGTCTTGGGAGCCATTTTTACAATAAAGTACAGTACTCATACATGAATCTGTACTGTATTAGGTATACAGTAGGGTCGGGATATATCGCGAGATAGGGTTCAAGGATGTTTGCCATACAGTTATATTAAATCGTGATATATAATTACTGTACTGTACATGTAATCAATGGGGAAAATAGGGGAAGGTTCTGGAGGCCAATAAAAGTGACTAAACTTGACTTAAGTTTATTTTCTTACTAACTAAAGCACCAATAAACACTAGACTCAGGGACACCACCTTAGGCCCTATTGTCGGTCAATTACCTGTTCCCGGGTGGGCTATTCCCGATAGAAAAAGAAAAAAAGAAGGGAACACCAGACTCGGCAGCAGACGCCACACTGCCACCCTCACTTGACAGTCCCACACCTAAATAAAGGAACATACCAAAAATATTAGTAACAGTATTAAATCTTTTCCATTAAGCTTTCCATTCTCTTCACTTCACTTTTCACGTCACTACAACCCATTTACACTCACCTTAGAAGTTTGAATCTGCAACAGAGTCGGCTGCTGACTCGTCACTCACGCCACTCGGCTCACAGTCAGCCTCCTGCTTTCATTAAATATGTCTTCTTTGGCATTCTTTTCCAGTTTATTCCTATCGAAACAACAGGAGCCGCAGTGTTCATTTTGAAATTCATCAGACCCCTCTAAGATGTTTATGCACTTTATTCGGGTCACCATTTGCCTATCGGTTGTATAAACTAGGTGTTCTAATCTTTCAGGGTACCATCTCGGTGACCAGACGGACCGTCTAGATATCTGAACGACCATTTTATAAGACCTATTAGTTTAGTTGCTTTTCCATCCCGTTCCCTCTAGTCAACTATACATGACATATTGTAGCCTATATAATCCACCCTCTCTTCCTATTTACAGTATTCCTCCCTTGGTTTTTTCCTCCAGACAATATCTATTATTCCATAGGTAAGTGATTAGTGTTTTTTATCTATCACTGTCTGTGAGATCGTCGGATATATCTGTGTGACTGTCTGTATGTGTCATTGTCTCAGACTCAATATTTGTGTTTGATCATGAATAGCACTGTGTCTGTTACATATGTGTCAATGAACCAGTGACTGTATATTATTGGTTGTCTGAGTGCCTCTTGTGTTTATGACTATAATTCAGTGTCTGTTTTGTTTTTCAGATATTGCAGTTTACCAACAGTTGTAGCATATAAGACGAACAGATCCTATGCTAAGAAACTTTGCAAAATGCACCTCGGGCGCTCAGAAGTGAAAGCTAAAAGCTGTAAGGCGTAAAAGTCACCAGAGATGCATTGCGAAGTGTGCAAAAATCGAATAATTTTTTTCATCAGTAGCAGCAACATCTAATGGAGAACATTTTTCATCTAATGACATTCCAGCAATATGTCCTGCTGCAGAAAATATGACCACACCTGAAGCTGATGCAGACATTGTTTCAGAGGTAGTAACACAGTCATCAGATGTAGAATCAACAAGAAACAATCAATCTTCAGATCCTACTTCGTGAGAAAACGTAAGTCATGAAGATATTGATTACTGGATAGCTACTGGAGCTAAGACCTGTCAAAATAGGGATTCTTTGGTTTTGAGTTCCAAATGCCAGTTTTCTGGATCTCATGTCAACGAGCATCACTGATATTTCAATAAGGCATACTTCTTTAGTACACTTTCAAATGGGCAACAAATTGAAAGAGAATGGCTACTTTTTTCCCCATCATCAACTGGCAGGATTTTTAGTTTTTGTTGTAAATTTGTGAATTTTTTAATTATAATACTGTGTTAACGTTAAGTGTATTCGTTTATCATCTTGTGCTGAACTAGAAATTATAAATAAAGAAATGCTTCTCGTAGATAAACTCCAATTTTATTTTAATTTACTGAGGCAAAAAAATTATACAGTTGATACTGGTCCTTGGGGTGAGTTTGAGGCACCATGGCTAGACCAGCCTTGTTTGTTGGTCCAGTAAACCACCACCTGTTTGTCCATGTGAAAAGTGATCGCCCTGTCGTTGACAGCGGGATGTCTTCATAGGCGACCTTCAGTTCTTTGTAGTTGATGTGACTGTATCTGTCTGAGGTGGTCCACACGTCCTTGCCCTGCTGGCCTAGGATTGACAGGTAGTCTCACCCATGGTCCAATGAATCTGTGGAGATGAACCTTGACGGTGTTGGATCCAGCCATGATTTTGCACTCAAGAGTAGGCTGGGTTTCATCAACGGCCAAAGAAGGTTGCGAAGAGAATCTGGTATTGGTAGGAGGTCTCTCTCCTCGGTGGGAACTGTTGGATGCCTGCCCTCGTGAAACGTTAAACCCACGGTCTTCCGAGAAGCAGTATTTCCGCTGCATAATTCAGAAAGCCATGCAGACTTTCTTACTGGCAACGGGTTATGTTCCAAGCTACCCGTGTTCTCTGGAACTTCCTCCAAACTTGCCGTTGGTTGTCTTCCGAGAGGCGGGAGGAATTGGTCCTGGTGTTCCACTCCATCCATAGTCAGGCAAGTCGTTGGGTGGACTAGGCAAGTGTAATCCCAACGGCCTACTCCTCAGCATGTGTGCTGCAGACAACCTCACTATCACTAATACCTTGTTTAGGTAGGCTGACAAGTTCAAGGTTTCATGGCAACACCCACGATCCAAACACTGTCATCTCACTGACTACATCATTGTCAGAGAAAGAGAGTACCGAGATGTCCTTATCACCTGAGCCATGCGTGGCTCAGACCACTGCTACACTGATCATCTTTGGCTCATCCGAGCCAAGCTCTCACTTCACATCGCATTTGCAAGCCTTCAGAAGAGGTTTAAACACTAAGAATCTGGAGGATCCAGCAGGAGCACATGTTTTCAGAGCACAGCTCGAACATGGACTGATAAACAACCTGACAAAAAAACAACCCAAATCCCAGTGCCAAATGGGATATTCTTGACACTGTCATGACAAAAACGTGCAAAGAGACCCTCGGCTAGATCAAAAGAATACACCAGAACTGGTTTGATGAAAATGACCCAGAATTCAATGTACTTGTCGATGATAAACGTGCTGGTTTAAATGACTGGTAGAACAACCCTCAGTCTCGGACAAAAGTTGATACCTTCCACAAGAAGAAAGTGGCGGGCCATTGTGAACTTCGTAATCTAAAAAACAACTGGTTTGAAAATAAAGCATGTGAAATGTAAAAACTTGCAGATCAACACTAGATGTGTGAATTTTTCAATTCTACTAAAACATTTTATGGGCCAATCACTCATGATGCAGCCCCCTCTACTCATTTGATGATAACTCCCCTAATTGAAGATGGAGAAGGCATCCTTCAACACTGGAAAGAGCACTACCATTTGCTGCTCAACTGAAACACTGTTGTGGATGTCCTGACTACCCAGTAGGTCCCTCAGCATCCAGAGCTGACCCACCTCAGCTATCCTCCATCCCTGGATGAGGTAACTACTGCCATCAAACATGAAAAATAACAAAGCCTCGGGGCCTGGTGGAATCCCAGCCAAGGTGTATAAAGCAGGAGAACCTATGCCTCCACTCTCTCCTGGAGAATATATGGGAAAAAAAAAGAAATCTCCCAAGCTTTTAAAGACACCTCCATCATCAATATTTATAAGGACAAGGGAGATTGGTCAGACTGACAACTACCGCGGGATCTCACTGCTGTTCGTAGCTGGGAAGATTATCTCCCAAGTCCTCCTAAAGTTAAACAGACTTCTTCCTGAGGCGGAAAACTTCCTCCCAGAATCTCAATGTGGCCTTAGACCATCATGTGGCACCACTGACATGATCTTTGCTGCCTGCCAGATACAAGAAAAGTGCAGAGAACAGCATCGTGACCTGTACAAGGCCTTCATCGACCTAACCAAGGCTTTCAACTCAGTCAACAGGGAAGCCCACAAAAATTCATCGCCATTGTGAGGCAACTCCATAATGGCATGAACGGCAGTGTCCTGCACAATTGCACCCAGTCTGAGTTCTTCCCCATCCAAATGGGGGTAAAACAAGGATGTGTACTGGCACCAACTCTCTTTTCCATTTTCTTGGCTGCCTTCCTTATTCCTGCCAGTGCCAATTTAGCCGGCGGGGTGGACATCGAGTACCAGATGGTCTTACATAGATGCGTATGCACACTTTGGCCTTGAGGTGAATGTACATAAGATTCAGATTCTCTTTCAGCCGGCCCCTGGTTCAGCCACACCTCCACCATCCATCCAACTTAATGGCACTACCCTCTCTAATGTTACTCTCTTTCAGTAACTCGGCTTCCATCTGTCCACCACTGCGGAGAGATTCAACATCGGATTAGATGTGCATCTTGAGCCTTTGGCAGACTCTGTAGGGAGCTGAAATTATCAGGAATAACCTTGATTTTGAGATT